GCGGTTGGCCAGGTCCTAGAGAGGCTTCGCCGAACTTCAACGGGCGGGTGGAGTCGTAGCCATACAATGGCTCCACGTCCAGGTTGCGCAATGCCAGCGCAATATCTTGAGTGGTAAGAACCGTGCGCTTACAGTGGCGCATGCATTTCAGCGCTTCCTCTAGCACTTGCGCAACCCGGTATTCAACGTCCCGGGCAAGGTTCTCGGTCACATCGTTATTAAGGTTGAGGATACCGACGGATTCAGCGACATCGCGGATGTTATCGGGGTTCCAGACAGACATGATGGAATGATGTAGTCTGGAATGAAGGTGTATGAGGGAAATGTCAAGAATTCGGGTTTAGACAATGGCGCTATCGCGAAAAGTGAGGTGGAGGAGGGACAGTAGAGGAGATCTAGAAGGCGAGTCGCATTCTGAGGCCACCGCCAGCGGATCCACAGATTAGACAGTAACAGCTCTTTCTCTTGAGTCAGTGTTGTGTTTAAATGATGAATGCAACGCGGTGAATCCAATGGATAGAAGGAATAAAGTGAATACGCACCGCCTGGAAGATGAAAGCTTGTCGATAAGAGTTGCGCAAGTGACTCTGCAGTCCCCCGTACAAGCTGCCCTACTGCCTTTTCCTTCACAAGAACATGAATAAACCTTCACCAGAAATAGAGAATGATAAAATTAGATATGGATAGCCATAATGGTAGTAACAGTACAGTACATCTTGAAAGAGCACACCAAAGACCTGAAACCAGGTACACAAGAGCGGGGAGTGTCATCCACTGCTCCTCCGGGTATCATAACAAACAGCACCAGCCAAATATTGATCTACTGGGCTCCATCCTTTGCAGGTTCTTCCTTCAGAGACTCAGCCTTGGGAACCTCTGCCTTGGTTGGCTCCTTCGCAGCCTCCTCCTGTGGTTCCTTAGCAGCCTCCGCTTTAGGGGTTTCTTCTTTCGATAGCGCCTCCTCCTTGAGGGGCTCAGCAGCAGTAGGCTCAGCAGCAGTAGGCTTCTCGGGAGACTTGCCCTTGTCTTTGGTCTCCTGTTCCTTGTCCTCGACCAGTGGGACGAACCTAGCATTTTCCTTTAGCTCTGGACCCTTGCCACCATAAACTTTGGGGATTTGTTCGGCAATAGAAGGAGAGAATTCTCGAGCCAGGTTGAGCCCGTTGGTGATCGGGTGGAACTTGCGCGTGGTGTTCCGGCTCAGGATAAACTTCATGGCGGTAAACATCCAGCCCATGATAGCAGGGACGTTGACGAAGAACTTCTCACTCAGGAGCTCTGGGTATGCTGTAGCGAACACTTCGATGACCTTCTTTGTTGCGGCACGGACAGACGGATCCATACGCAAGAACTTGACATTCATGTAATCGTGCACTTGGATCATCTGGTAGGGATCCTCGCCATCGTACTCGATTACCTCGGTGGCATCCTTCATCTTCAGGTCCTGGACGGCAAGTTCCATGAGAGCGGCACGCCATTGGACGAATCTGCAGCCAGTTAGGATTGATTTCAATAGTATAGAAATTTTCATGCTGGGTTCTTACTCATCGGTATTCGCGAATGTCGCGCTGATGTCCTTCACGGCTCCGTAGATGTTCCAAGTAAACACCAAGGGCCGTCCGTTCTCCTCATAGGTCGTCAGGTAACCCAAACCCCCGAATTTGGCCGCGCTGTATTTCGCAGACTCTGCCAATGCTAGTGGGTTCACGTCTTTGCGCCATTGGAGTGCCTTACAGAGCTGGGTCTCGGCGGCTTTGGCATTGCCTTCATTTGCGCGCAGGAACTTGATCAACACGTTGACGGTGGGGATATCGTCGCTATCCTTGAGTGGCACTCCCCACATTTCAGTGTGCCCAGCATTTCCTAGGATGGTTGGCAGGCGGTTGAACAACTCACCCAACGCCGGGTTCTTGCTCAGGTAAGTCGGCTTCTCAACCTTGGGCTCTTCGAGCTTTGCCGCTTCGGACTCTGTAGCGGCAGTCGTGGTGGTAGCAGCATCCTTTGAAGCTACTTCTTCCACCGGGGCACTGGCAGATTCGTCTTTGGCTACACTGGGTTCGGTGTTTTCGGCAGCTGTCGCGGTAGTTTCCACGGGCTTATCGACTACTTCCACGGTTTCCTCTCGCTTCTCGGGGGCGGGCGCAACAGGCGCAACAGGCGCATTTTGATCAGCCGACATTATTGACAGAATTGTAGAGGGTGTGTTGAGGTTAGTGGGAATAGGGGGTTTTGAATTCACAGGGGGCAGTTGCCTTGTCAATAAACGGGCCACTTATCAATTCCCCCCCCCCCCCCCCCCCCCCCCCCAACCTGTCAGTCACATCATTTTATTACATAGATCGACATATCACATCCACATGTCTATTTTTAAATTTCCAACGGTTTTTTCGTTCTATTTTACTATATTGTAGTTGATATTTGGTGAAAGACTTAATGCGTTAAGCTATAAACTAAAATCTACTTCTGATTTTCTGCTTTGATATCTTCAGAGTATCCCTAGCCTATCGCCATGCACAGCTCACAGAGCTTTCAATAGCTTCAATAATTGTCATACCGATATACTTTGAATGGTGTAATACTAGCCCTCAACTCATTATCCTATATAGCTTTATCCGATTCTGTAGCCCACATACTACTTTGTAGCGCACCTAGTACGACTCGATAAGGACTAATGTGAGACTGTCAGCCCATTCAGACTTGGTAAACTTTGATTTTCTACGATGGAAATGACTGATGGTTGTTTAGAGTTGCTTACTGCTTTGGTTCTGTAGGTTCTAGTTAAATGCTCCTTTGTGTCTACCGCAAATGCCTACTGAAATTTAAGAGGTGTCACTCTATTCCATCTGATAGAACTAGGTAGCAACCTTTAAAATTATCAACCACTACTTTTCTTAGAGAGATTGAAAACCTACAATGTCACTATTACATACTATGATTAATTATAATATAACTCAATTTCTTAAAATTTCATAATATTAATAAAGAAATAGATGATAAAAGTAATATTCAAACCTAAACAGTGCTAAATAACAGTAATTTATTAAGATGACTTAGCAGTTTTACACGTCTAAATTGGGGAAGGTCAACTTTTTTAATGCAAATGAGGGCCGATGACGGTCGCTCGAGGGCCGCCCTCAGAGTGCCCGCCCTCAAAATGTTTTTAATGAGGTCTACGTCTCCGTGGCCTGGGTAAGGTCACCTGACCATCCAACATATTGACGACCACACTCCATCGTCACTTCCATTCATCATCAATTCTATTGATTTTCTTTCGTTCTCGGGGTTCTTGACTCCTCCCCTCTCATACGAAAATGGATAAACAAACCCAGACTAGGCGTTGCGATGAAGTTAAGCGACTCTACAAGCTACTTAAGAGTTGCGAATCTTGGTTTCTTTCCCCCGGTGATCTCCAAGGCCTCGGAGTCTATAGCCAGCAAGTTGGCATGATAGGTGACGGCTCTGTACAATTTAATCCATGTTTCTTTCGGCCTTATCCGGAAAAGGTGCTTCAAAAATATCCACTCGATACGGTTTCGATGGCTGCGGACCATCCTCCACAGACTCTTCAACGGCTTAATAACCCCCGGGACTTCCAGACTCTGTTACGAGAAGTCCAGAATGACCCTAAGGTCGAAAATCCCCTGGAATTCGCTAAATCAAGATGGGATACATTAACACTTTTATATGGGCCGGATGCCTGGGAAGATCATGCCAGACAGACACGTTGGCATATTCAATCCCAGCAGATGCTTCCTCGGAGAGGGCTTTCCCGGGACTCTACTCTTAGCGATCTAAGATCTATCTACGAATGGAGGTTAGTGCACTTTGCTTTTTCTCTTTTACTCTACTGTTTTCAGGGACTAAATATACCAGGAAGAAATGGAAGCATAGCGCTCCTGAACTATGTGGACTTAATAGAAGGAACTATTGGCGTATACTAAGTCTCCGAGAAGATTTTCAGCCAAGCTTTAACCCACATGCAATTATGGAACTTTTATCCGATGTTCCCGCAAATCATGCAGAGAATTGCCTTACTCTCCAAGAAGTAAGCGCTGTTATAACCGTGATGGTTGCTCGAACATCTGATCGGCCGTTCCGGGACCACCCGATCCTTCCAGTTAGTATCTTACTAACACTTCCTAGGTACTAGAGATTTCCTAAGCACTCACTTATTTTTTATAGTTATTGGTTCTTTCATACACTGGACAGAAACATGGAAGAATAATTCAAGCTTCATTACAAGGAGAAAGCTTGCTTTTGCAATATTCTCAGCTATGGAGTTTTGCGGATGACGAAACGGCACCAGTTGAACTCTTCATTCGTTATGATATGAGCCAGCCAGTTCCGATAGCCTTAGAAGAGCCGAATCCTATTATTGGCTCTCTTGTCGGCCCTGTTACGTCTATGAGCTTGAATTAGCTATTTAATACAGACCCTACCACAAAGTATTTTACCCACCCGCATTTTTACCCACCATCACAAAATATATATCTCTCTATATCTATAAGTAGCACTACCAATTTTAGGGCTATACGAACTTGAAGATATAGGTTTGAAACCTTAAGATCTCTCGCTTAGGATCTACATTTAATATTTTATGTAGTACTCCTTATCTTTAAGTACAGCCCTATAACGTCTCGTTATACTCAAAACCAACCTATCTATCTTCGACAATAGCAATAGCATCCAACAGCCCGGGCCTACGCATTTATATAGTAGCAACAGAACAATGTTTGTGGCAGTCTCATTCAATGAATTTTCGATTAAACTATCGTCTATTGGTCCTAAGGTTGCAGGATAATTTCTGTATAGATCAATACGACTTCATCTGGTGCCTCAATAAGACCTGTTTCTCTACCTAGGTAGGTAGGTACCTAGCCCTGGAGGTTTGTGCTGCTTTGTCAGCTCAAAACAACCTTTGGTTTCGTTAATGGAAAGGCAACTGATTTCTCATCTTTCTCCCACAAACACTCATCGGAAAAAGCAGATTTCAAGTAACCATGGAACCCCCTCCAACACCCCGCCCTCCAGCACCGAAGGTGCCCTCGACCGTCAGTCAATGGAGAGCCAGCGCGCGCGGTTGCCACGTCCTGACCAAAAATCCAAGCAAGCTCGAGTGTCTGCACCCAGGTTCAAAGGTCACGTTCAAGGAATATCTCAGCATGAGGATTATTCGGAGGGTCTCCAATATCACCGAGTTCCCCGACCGAGAAACTGAAGGCAGAGCCAAGGAGATGGTCAAGGGGGACGAAGCAATACAGACGTGGCTCTCATATATCGAAACGGACCAGTACCCAACCGACCGAAAGCTTGGCATGTTGCCCTAGTGAGACAGGGTCAGCTTGCGATAGTAGCTTCGGATTCCCAGGAACCTTCCCAGACAGTTGAACTTCGGCGTCGAGATCGACCTCAAGCTCCTCAACTATCAGCAGATACCGCGGGACGCAGTCCTAGTGCTGCCGCTTCAACTGCGCCAACTGAACCGTCTACTGCCGCTTCAAGTGTGCCAACGGAACTGTCTACTGCAGCCTTGAGGAAGTGGGTCAAGTACGCCAGAGCGGATGGAGAACCGCAGGTGAATCAATTCGTGATCAACCTCTCAACGCTTTGACACTCAGCGTAGGCCAGGGCGTGAACTGCCAATGGTCCCCTAATGGTAATCTGTTCAGTAGCGTGTCTTTTGGAGAAGTCCAATTAACCGCATATGTCGACGGATACCTTATGGGAGTCAAGAAAAGCGATATCTTTGCTATTGTGGAGGTAAAGGCAGGAATCCGGGACCCCGAGCAATATCCGTTGGTCGAGTGGCAAGAAGGCGCAGAAATGGTCAGCTGGATCATGAATGATGAGGAGAATCTGCGACGTCATCCATTCGAAACGTGAGTGGAGTGTGAATATTCGCATATTTTCGTGCTAAGTGCTGTAGGCGCCTCTTGATCTCTTTGAATCGACATGAGATGTATTTGACACTCGGCCGCTACCACGAGGACTACGTAAAGTTCCTAAAGGGAGAATTTCAAGGGTTGAAGAGCTACCCCGAGAATAGATTCCTCCACTTGCACGAGTACGGCCCATGGGATATCGGCAAGAAATCTCACATGAGGGACCTGGCCGAAATCATCGTAGGTTTCTCTCTCCGTGTCAAAGATGAACAGGCTAGATCGGCTGTGCCATCAGGGAGTGGTCCTGACGGGGCGTGAGCACAATGTGAGCGATATACATGTCTCTAGCGTGTCCGGTGCAGTATCATTCCATTACAACGGTCTCTCGAAATCCTTTCTCTCTCTTTCTTCCTTTCTTCCCCTATACCTGTTGTCTCTCGCATAGAGGCACTCTAAATCTTTGATCAAAAGTGGGTTTCCACATCGGGCCAATACCACCTGTCCTTTTGTCTCCTTTCATCACTATTCTTACCTCCAAAGCTCTCACTGATACACGCCAAGACTCGGCCCGAACCGAACCGGCTTGCTGGCCCTACGCCCTCGACCCCACCCACCTGCCGCTCCGCTCGCCTGGCTGAGCGAGATCCGATCTACAATCGATCCGAGCCCTACGATCATGGTAAAAACCATCACATCTTAGTCGCCTATAGCGCTAACTACTAGGAACTTAAACTTAACCCGCTCTATCTGATCTCGGTAACCCTATGGGTAGGCTGCGCCAAAGCCCACGAAACCCAAAACCCAAGCCAATCTATGGGCGCCCATTAGACCTATTAAATCGTAAAAACGTGACGTTCACATGACTATATAAGTTGTGCATTTCTAGGTGGCTTTTTGGGTATTTTGTATACATATGAAGTATCTGAATTTATATATTACCAGCAATTTATAGACTCAGATAATGATTCAGATGATGATTTTATTTCATATATGCATTGCACTTCTTTTCAATGATATGCCCAGTCACTATCATCCTATCTTGTTCGCTTACGAGCTCTCACTGACGTACGTAACCCGGTGCTTCTAGGATCGGATTCCGGAAGTGGGGCATCAGCCTCAGTATTAGAAATTCCAGTTTGTTCGTGACTCCGGGCCCAAAGTTGGGCTTTACGGAAGCCTAGGCCGGCCCGTAGGCGGGCACCGTCGTAGTCTACCTACCCATTGGGACCCATTGAAATTAGGCCTAGATAAAGCCTATAGGCGACGGTTCTGACCGCGCTCAGAAATTGTAGTGTTTACAGAAAGGTATAAGCCATATAATTTAACACCTCATCATTTTCTTAGAGACCATACGAGTGAATAACTTTCCTGAGGGCAGGGGCTATCAACAAAAAAGGCTGATCAATGTTAGGTGGATTCTTAGTTGTTGACGCTAGTATCACAGAATAGATGGCTAATAAATGATGCACATGTCACGTGGTTAAAATGTTCCATCTCTGCCTTTATTTTCAGGCCGTAGAGTGAGCAAGTCTTTGCGCTCATTAAGCGCTGTCGCATACCCTTGAGTACAATGAATAATCACCCTGTGCTGTGAAATACTCAGTGAACAGGACCCTGAGCCCCCTCACAAAGCGGCGGCACCCCGATCGGGAAATTCGCATCCGCGGCCTAAAATCCGGTACATACAGCTACATATGTAGGCAGTAGCTTGAAAATTCATCATTTATAAGGTTCTTTAGAAGACCATCATACCTGGGGTAAACTCCCATGCGAATCAAAATACTGGTAAACCCGCAGACTACAAAAGGGAGCAAACATCAATATAGTCAGCTTCAGCCAAGTCACCTGTTCACAAATGGACGCATGCAGATGTGACCAAACCTTCAACCTGCATATGCGGAAGCACATTGGCCAAGCAGGGGAAGGGGTTGACAAGGTGCAAATACCGGCAATGTGGCGTCCAACCACTGGGGTTGCGTCTGTTGGCGGCATGTTTATAGCTCTCTGATCTTGTATGGGTTCTTATACTCTGTACGTATGAACGCGTTGGCTAAACAAGCTGAACCAATATTACTATTCTAGAATTTTGTATTCCCTTGGACATGTAGCAACTTAGGGTTCATCGGTCCCAGAGTTTCTGTCCCACTCTTCCTGTTGAGGACTGGCTGGGCTGAGGTTAAAAGCAGCGTTGATGCTAGCCAGCAAGGAAGTACCCGCTAAATATCATTAGAATGAGAAGCAAGCCACCGATGTAAATAACGTACCGAGTACACACTGCAGATCAAGATACCCAAAATTTTCGACCATGAATCCAGCCAAGATTGGGCCCACGAGTAAACCAGACATCCAACTCATATTTGTGATTGCAACAGCACGGGAATACCCTCCATAGGGACCGAATATGCCAGGATGCAAGTTTTCCAACTTATCAACGGTTTCTGCAAAGAACAAATCAGTATTCCAGCTCTCAACAATGACATCCCAAGCTCACTAGTTGCTTCCATCATTCCAGCTCCCATGAGCAAACACATAAAACACCCAATCATAGTCGTACAGACGCAATAGATGATTTTACCCCTAGCTCCCACGGTGGCCCATGGAAAGCGCTCATCACCGGCGACTCCAAGAGCCCATAGAAAAGGTGCAATAGAGACGAATCCAATGGTGGTGGGAACCCTCGATCCCACACGGTCTTTCAACAATCCAACACAAGGAGCCAAGATCATCCCCGGTCCCTGGATAGACGCGAACAAAAGCCCGACCGGGAAAATGCCCCAATCAAAAGCGTCCCGGACATGCATTGCAATGGTAGACTCGAAACTGGCAATAAACAGCGCAAAGATAAAATAGCTGACAATTCCCGCCGTAAAGCAAGGCTGGCGGAAAAGGCAGACGTAGAACCGCCAACCGCGAATTTCTTCGGTAGTCGATGACCGATCTCCGTAGAGAAGTGGTTCTGTATCAGATGAGCATCCATGATCTTCTGTACACAGAGATTCATCGCGACTCTGGCAGGTTGTATCGCGGCGTTTCAGCGGTTTTACAATCATGAGCAGACGCATAATGATATCCACGATGAGAAACAGAGCCGCGCCAGCCCACGCTGTCCAATATCCTCCAATTCCAAAGAGAAACCCAGCAATTACGGGACCTGAGCACGTTCCAGCTGATACTAGGGTTGAGGTCAAACCTGCTATCTTGCCCATGTGTTCTGACCCGATGTTCTCCGCCATTGTGGCCATACCGACGATAAATAATGCGTTGCTGACGATACATTGGAAAAAGCGACCAATGAATAGCCAGGCCACTGAGGATTATTTAGTACAATCGGCGATATTGGGATTCACAGTATCTAAACTTACGGGATGTAGTGATTGATAAACATAGTACGCTGATCAGCGTCAGTACCAGAATCACCAGTAGTAGAACCTTTTTGGAGGTGGCTCTGTCGGCTAGATTCCCGATAAATGGACTCGAGACGATAGATATCAACGCTCCTTCAACTAGAAATATGGAGGTCAATCGCTGGGTAAGGGATGTGTCTAGCCCTAGACGGTTCTCGAAGATGTGAGGGAGCAGTGGGACCATGAAGGCAAAGAGCATTTCGTCTAGAGAAAGTAATCTTTGTTAGATAAGATCTAAATTATTCACTGCTAATTCAATTCACAAACCTGTGAACAACGCCATGGACGTGCTGCTGAGAATAAATGTATCGGACGAGCGCCAGCGAGATCCCCATTTCCGCTCCGAACCCTGTTTCTTAGTATCCGGTAAAGGAAACATTTCGAAGGCTTGATTATCGATTAGACAGCTGTTATAGATTAGTATTAATGTCAATATAAGCAAAAGAGGAAAAGGTGGGGATTGAGCGAAGAGTTTCAGACGAAATATATGTAACCAAAGTAGATGGCCTGGGGGGAACATCGCTTATATTTGCCCAAAGTCAAGCAAAACAAACAATGAGACACCAATACTCCGTACCCCATAACCTGGCTGCAGATCTAATTATGATTGCTTTTCGCTCTTCTGACCAATGTGAACCTCGCCTTCAGCATGCATTGATGTCCAGTGGCTCCAGCAAATACCGGCTGAATGCCAATTATGATCTGGGCCATTCTTGATTTACAGATATTGGTTGGTAGTATTATGTATAAAGACCATGGGGGTTGTCTAGTAACACGGCAAACATACATTTTTCGCCTTTATATTCATGTAGGACAAGCCCCGGGACGATCTTCAGATCTTGGGAGCTTATTTAGACAAGAACCAACGATATTACGATGCTACCATACTACATGTGAGATCCGATAACGTAAATCATGTATTCATTTCCCATGAATTGGCCACAAGAGGATAGACCTCAGTAGGAACCAAGAGACCATTTGCCAAGTAAAATCCAGACTGGGAAATAAGCAAGAATAAGAAACCCAATTAAGGGAGATAGCGCTGGGGGAATATACACAGAAGAGAACACAGCATAGAATAACAGGAGAGACTGGTGCAACGGCAATCTGAAATCAACGACCGCCATAGGAGGAAGAACCCAAAGATATAAAATCACAGGAAAAGACCAAGAATCCAGTCTATCTCTATTGTCCGTTGTTGCGGAACCGCTCAGGCATGTTAGGCATAGACGGCGGGGGATTAGGCTCCGATCCGTCGTGATCTTCCATTTCCTCATCCAAATCTTCGGGATGGCTAGACACAATGTTAGCTTACAAAATCACAAAGTATTAGGGCCGGACCAGGATCAACATACGCAAGTAGCTCCTTGATATTCCTCATCTCATAGTGCCTCTTGCGCTGCTGCTCGAAATGAGCGTGCTTCGCGCGGGCCTCTTCAGTCGTCAAGAGCGGATCATGAGCAGGCGCTTGGGCACCATTCGTATCCTCCATACCTACATGAACATGCTTCTCGCTCTTGTGCGAGTCCATGCTCATGCTACGGTCACGGAAAACACGAGCGTCATCGAAAGGAACGTCCTGCATGGTTTCCTCCGGTTCACCGAGCTCCAGCTCAGGAATTTCATCCTCTGACACGGCCTTTAGGTGTTGGGTGGGTTTGGCCGAATCCAGCTCATCGACAATAATGCCCTGCGCATCGATTAGGCTTTGCTGTGCATCGTCGAGCCGCATCAGCTCATCATCCTCGCTGGGGTCGTAGTGAGGGGCGTAAGGAGTCTTAGGCTCGTCGATCTTCATCTTCGCAGTCTTCTCCTGCTCAGTCAGGTACAGGTTTGCTTCGTCCCACTTTAGACGGGGTTCATTTTCGTCATGGGTGCTGGCAGACGACTGTCGGCGCGAGTTAGAGCCCGGGTTGGTAGTGGATGAGGATCGCCGACGACCTGCGTTCTGCAGGGTGTTTAGGATAGTGAGTTCCTTGGTCTCCTCGGGCTCGGTGATGGTTGGAATGGAGAGTGGGGAGGTGGCTGCCATTGGAGCGGAGGCGCCTTGGAAGGAGTTGGAGTTCTTGAGGATGCCTGTTTAGTTGGCGCAAAAGTGCACTGGTCAGATCTCATCGTCGCCTTTGGTCGCCGTTTGGCACCGACGTAGTTTAGACTCACCTCTTGGCCGATGGTGCATATTATCGGAGCTGTGCGCCTTGGCCGGCATATGTGGTGCGGTAGTCATGGTGGGATGATTGATAGAGGGAGACCGGGTGTCGCCCGATTTGCAAGTGGACGATGTAATAAGAAGTCTGATTTCCAAGGGTGGGAATCAAGGAAATGAAAAGGATGTGTGGCCTGTTTTATTTTTATTATATCACAAGCCTTGGGAGTTTGCTCAGCTGCAATCCGTGCGAAAAAAAAAAAAAAAAGGCTGAGCACCGCCTGATATGGTTGGGCGGGTGGAAACGGATAAATCAAACGAAGATCAGCCTGACTCAGATCGATATCAGCTCACTGTAGTCACGAGTTGAACGCAAAGAAAAGAAGAATATAAGGTCAAGTGGACGGTGGGGGTGCGAATGCCTCGATGACGTCGGCCCGATCATCTACCCGACGACTCCCGCTTAGGTAACGTTTATCAGATTCGGCCTGAGGATATCTCGGATGTTGGATGTCATACACAGTTCCTTGTAATAACTTGATGTTATATGTTGGCCGAGAATAACTTGAAATGTCCATGACGCTTTCACCTTGATCTTCAAAAGAGACAATATATATAACTCTAGTATGGAGGGATATGAACATTACTAGACAAGGAAATATAAGATTAAACTAGATCAAGACAATGAATGCCCAGTCTTTCAATGTATTCAAGAACGCCAGTCATGTTCCAGAGCCAAGCTTAGACAGAAGCCCGAGGCAAGAGTCCCAAAATCCACGAATGCCTTAAAACACCCAACTAGATCGCCCGAACAGGGGTATATGGATATATATGCAACATAATAATCACGACGTAGAAAATAAGCAAATGAAAGTCAAAGTGTGAGAAGAGAAGGAAAAAAAAGAAAGATCGAGCCAGCGAGGAAAAGAATGAGAAAAGAAAAAGAAAACACAACAAGACCAGAAAAGTAGAAAGGCCGTGAAGTCTCTCATGCAATGGAGTCAAACTCCTCGCGCTCACGAAGTCGATTCCGAGCAAGAGTATCGCCACCACTGGCTGACAGCTGCATCCAGTGCAGTGCCAGGCACATACTCTGCGGGTCAGACTTAGAGTCTTTGTCTCGTCGGTACATCATCTCTGCCTTGAAGGTATCCCGCGGGAGGGTCAGAGGGAGTGTCACGCGTGGGAGAAGCTCTGGGTGAGTCAGATAAAGGATTGCAAGTTCGCGCTGTGCGACTGGATTGCCCTCCTTAGCAGTGATGATCCACATCCCTGCTGCATCTTGGATAGCATGGCCGGGGCGGGATTGGAAGTCCGAGGCGAAGGGGGGATGACGACGGGAGAGCTCCTGGAAGACGATGCGGTCGGCGATCTCGACCATGCTGTGGCAGATCTCTTCTTTGAGACTTAGTGCGGCCAGACCGAATTGGAGAAATGCTGTCCCGCGGTCCGTCTTGTCTAGCTGATCCCCTGGGACGAACGCTGAGATAAACTGCAAGTCCCTGAAAAGGGTCTTCGGCTTCACATCTAGAATTAGGTCGCGCAAGGCGGCTACGATTTGTGCTTCCGACGGAGTGGAGTAGTCAGACCGTCGGGAGCCACATGTGTCTGACTCGGGAGGAGAGGATGGTAGCACTGGGTCCATCTGTGGTAGGTTGTTGGCTCGCACCTCTGAGAAACTGTGGCGAGTGGCCCGATGGAGTTGAGGACTGCTTCGCACCCCGTCACCGTCTCCCGGGGAAGAGCTGAGAGTAGCAGGGAGATTGGCATTTTGGGGCGAAATGAGCGATGCAACCACTAACGAACGCAAGTCCCGCAATGCGTTGAGCTTTACAAATGGATTTCCATGACGCGAGAATACTTCGATCAGCCGATGGAAGACTGTCTTGTATGAAAATGCCTCCTGCCCGTCCGATTCCAGAGACGCTTGCGGTAGCTGCGATGAAGCCTCCGCACGAGGGGCTTTGTGTTGAGATACACGCAGGTTGCCCAGAGACCTACTCCGGCGACCTTTCAATGAGCCACGCTGCTGACCAAGATGCTTGGAGCGCTCTTCATAATCAGCGTAGAATTTCTGGACAGCAGCTCGTCGGCGCATTTCCACCTGAATGCGTTTCTGGTCCAGGGCATTGGTGAACCAAGCGTCGGTTTCACTACCACAACTCCATACCGGAGAACCGAGATCGCTCAGCAGTAGACTAGTCAAAGTTTGTCTCAATTCATCCATGAACGCCATCTTCCCCTGCGTTTTGCGTTCAACGCGACGGGGCTGGCGGGTTGCCGTCTCACTGAACATAGAGGGCGGTCGCGAGTACACACTCGACGCGCTTGTGGCATACATAGGGTGCCGCTGGGGTACAGACCAAAATGTACTGTAGGTATCACCGGTAGACGTCGAGGCAGCACGGCCAGGTGAACCTCCGAGAGAAGACATGTCAATTGAAGACAAATCTCGCTGAGGCCTCCATTTATCGGAGATTATACTTTGGATGGAGGGCTTACGACCCAATGAAAGGGTATCTTGAGAAAGACGAGACATGGGATCGGGCATAGGCATATTAGCGCCATAGAAGTTGGAAGCAGAGTTTGTGTCCTCGCTTGTGGTCGTTGAGGGCCGAGGAGTGCTAGGCATGGACATTCCTGGGAATGTGCGAGAGCCGTAACCTTCAAATCTTGAGCGTTCTCTCTGGAAAAGCTCACTTGCCCATAACACCGGTGTCTCGGCCATTGTTTCACCCACCAGTTTATTGATACTCATTCGGACCTCGTAACAGAATCGATGGATTCTTTCTTCTCCCTTGCAGAAATTATCAATTCCGTTGTGCGACAACCACTTCCGAGTCAGCTCGACTTGCTCGTCAGACAGCTTATTGGGTCCACCCTGACTACTGGGTGCCTTCATCATGTTCATGACTTGCACTTCGGGTTTCTGGAACAAGGAGCCGCCCAAAGACTTTGCTCCGTAACGAGAGCGCTGTTCTTCGGGGAACTGGCTGAAGAGTCGGGCGGAGTAGATCATCGTTTTCAAAGCCATGGCCACATGTTTAGCTTCCTCATATCTAATAGAGTTCTTGACGTCGTTCATGTACCACATCTTGTCTCGGATCTTGCAAAATGTGGCCGTCATGTCTTTTACTTGAGTTTGAAGTCGGCGGAGACTTTGATCGAGAGACACAAAGTCGCTCTCGCAACGCTCAATGACAGCTCGTGATTGGGTCAGTGAACGACTGTAGTTCTCATGCATCGGGCCCAAGATCCATGAATCGTCTGTGGACCTCGATGAATTAGGCGTTCCTCGTTGCCCGAGCTGTTGGGAAGCATTCCACCAGTAATGTGCACCAACAAAATCGGAGTCATGATGGCAGCAGAACATCGCTTCGTTGAACCGCTGCTTCAAGGACATGGCGGCTGGCTGCTTAGTATTCTGTGAAATGAACCCATAGTCGTCCGCGTCTTGAATGCGGTTCTCCTTGACAAGTCGAACGATCGCTGTCTGTAATGCTTCATGATTTTCCTCCAGTCCTAGCGTCGTAGAGTGCGCGTCGTCTTCACTTTCAATTATCGAGCCTTTGGAGGTTTCATATCTGCTATCAGGGAGAAGGCTCCAAGTTAAGCTGTGACCGTCTGCTGTAACTGAGAAGATGGTCCAATGCTCGCCTGAGGGGTGCTCTAAGCTCAACCGTTCATTGGGATGATCTAGATCAGTTAACTCGAACCGAATGCGAGCAGCCTTTTCAGACAGGCTATTTTCCGGTGCTAAGATAGAATGAGTTTCCACTGAAAATATGGAACCATTATGGGAGGTAGTTTTTGAATTTGTGTCATGTTTGAAACGAGCGAATACAGAATCCATATGTGACTCTGGCCGAAGGTTGATAGATGGTGGTGGACTGGATGGCCAAGACTGAACTGCTGCAGAGGCCGAGGATGAATGCAAAGAAGAAGGGGTCTGTTGGAAGAGAGCGTCTAGGAGGGTGAGAACATCCAAAGCGGACATCATCAGGAAATTTGAAGGAGACTTTCGTCGATGAGGACGTGGTGCCTGTGAAGAGGGAATAGAAGGGTCAACCGATACCTCCGGCGGCATCGCGTTATGAAACCGAGAGAGCATGTTGTCGACGCGGCCTTTGATTATCGGACGAGGAATTGAGAAATGATGCCTTGAAGAGATCAGCAACAATGTCGAAATCTGCAGAGCTTAAGCTAGGACGTACATTGAACGCAAAACAGCAAAGACTTGCGCGTAGGCGCGGTGCCCAACCTGGTTCAACAATTTCTCGCGGGCATCCTTTCTGATATGGAAGTCTAGGAGAAGTCCGTGGGTCTATCACGTCAATAGTAGATTGGAGTCAGCTTCGCAAGTTCACCAAGGGCCAGAGGCTCATGTACCTCAGGATACGTCAATGCGCCATATAAGAACTTTGAAAAGAACCACTGGAGGAATAAAAACTCCAAGAAGCGACTGCGGGTCTCGGGATTATCCAGCTTCCGCAAAACAGCCTTTGCGAACTGTAGCACGGCTTGAGGAAAGCCGCCATCCGGGTCATCAAGTACGCGGAACAAGTCATCCACGGCAGAAGCAAAGAACTCCTCTGCAACATCCGTTCGCATGGGGTCCAGGGAATCCATGGCAAAATCCATCCCGGGTGGTGTGGCTATAGGCTCTAGGAGAAAAGCACCGGTTTGTAAAATGTCCATTAGGTAGAGTTCAAATTTGGGGCGGGCTTTCCAAGTGCTACCGGTAGTCCAGGAAGAAAGGATCTGGCCGATAAGAGGATGGTATCTACTACTTCCGTTGGAGATTAGTTGAGCGCAGACGGATGACCACACTTCCATACGCAAGCAGGATTCAGGCGTCTCTGGATCCAAAGGAGTGGCAAAAACGTTAAAAAGAAGTATAGATAGCGGGTCAGTCCTCTCAAAGGCGTATGCGTGGTCTTTGAAGGCAGCAGACTGAGCCTGGCTCCTGTTTAAGAAAGATTGGGCCCGAGCTCGGGAATTCGAAGGGAACGCGAGATCATTGGTATCCAAAACCGTGGCAGGAGAAGTAAAAGCAGCCAATTGGGACGAAGACAAACTTTGTAACCGGTCGACTATAAACTGGGGATCAGAGCGGACCAGCCGCAAAATCTCCAAAAAGTCCGTCCGGGACTGAGGGCTCAGCTGATGAAGGAAATCCGGGAAACGGCCAATGTCAGTTTCCAAGGATGCCTCCCCGTCCACGGAGTCTGTCTGACCATCGTTGGGAGCAGATGAAGAGCATGGTTCCTGGAGGTCTTGGAGTGTATGGTAGAGAGTAACGAAACTGGCCTTGTCATCATGGCGGAGAGCTTCAATGAGACCTCGCTGTGCAGTCAGCCCGACACGAATCATACGCGCATGGACGCCAATGGACACCTTGGTGGCACGCAGGCGTTTCTCCAGTCGCTTCCTTCGGGCCTGTTTGCGCTGGGTCTGGTGATAACGGGTGGCCAAATCCTCGAATGAAATTTGGGGGACATCTTCCACTAGCATAGGTATAGAAGCCGTCGCGGGCCCGGGGTTGTGTCCATTGGAAGGAGTGACCGGTACCATGGGACTGGTGCGGCCCGAGTCATCCAACTCACCTGGCCCGTTCAACGGAGATTCAAATGTGGACATGGGCGATCCCGGAGGCGAAGGAGGCAGAGGCACAGATTCGGGATCTTGCGCCCGATGCGACAAGTCACATGGTGTATTAACTTTGGGGAAATCAGGTATTTGCTCGGCTGGAGCTGGTCAGAGATCAATCATAACAAGGGAGTATAGCGATAGAAACACCCTTCTTTCAACCATATAGAGAGGAAAAGAGTAAGAGATATAATGACGTACTGGTTGCAAAAGGCAAAAAAGAATGATGTTCTATCATCTTGCCATTAGCGACAGACAGTCGCAAACCCCCCTAACTGACGAATGCCTATCGCATTCTGAAATGAAAAGATTCTCAGGGTGATGCACTCGATCGAGTGAACAGTTCGCTTCTAGGAGGTGGGAAGAAAAGGCGGGGGAGAGAAAAGGAAAAGGGGAAAAAAATAAGGAGGGGAGATGGGTATAAAAAGTAAAAACGGAGTATAAAACACAAGAGAAGTCGTCCTCGAAACGGACAGTTGCAGACAAAAAGTGCTAAAAGTCAAGTAGAGAAGACTTCTAAGTGGCTTATTCTTAAAGCAGTAAACAGGTACCGAGTACAACGAAACGATGCGTTGGCAGTGCAGGAATGAGGTGTCCATGCGCCCCTCATGCGCCCCTCAGATTTTATAGACGTGTACATGTATTTTTACGTATACAATTTTAATATGTACAACATATATGATCTTATTAAATGTCGCTTTGACCTAAGATCTGAATATGTGGTGGCAACCTCACATGCGATATTATGGCTATACATCGTACGCACAACCGGCATTTATTTCATGCAGCTAACCCGGGATACCCCGATTCCTGGAACAAAAAAATAAGCAAACATGTTGGATCACGATTAGTGAATCGTTCATCATGGCATTACAAATGCATAGCTACACCCCCAAAACTCCGGTCATAGGTACTCGTGCAAGGAAATCTATAGTATCACCGACAAACCCATTTCTTGTCAACTTCTTTTTGCCCGACACGAGCAGCAACCTGATCAAGGGTGGCTTTGAGTGTATCCTTGGACACCTTGGGGAATCTAGATATATCGGGATTAGTATATGCTCTAATAGAAGACATCGTGGGAACCAACCGTTTCTTCAAGATCTCGACCAACCCTATCTTACTGAGATCACTGCCTTCAACTGCTTCCTTGAAATCAGCGAGTTGGTCTGGCGGGAACGGCCGTTTCGCTTTCGATGTAGGAGGTAAAGCACTGCCCGCCGATGTTCCAGGGACTGCAGGAACAAGGAATCCGTCTATGGCTGTCGCAGGTCGCGCTTTCGGAGGTACTTGATCCACGGGCTTGGGTTTGTCCCAGTATGCAGTCGAGAAAGGGTCGATGGGGAACTTGACCGCATCGGATATAGTCTCCATCCGATAGGCCTCCATTTCAGGCTCGACTCCATTGGATTCCCACTTAATTCCAGTAGAGACAGGCTCTAAATCACCTACAATGAGACGCCGTTTGCCCTCGGCGAGGGCATCATCCTCGTCGTCTAGGAAACCCTCGAGATCATCTTCGCCCTCATCACTGCCCTCATCTTCTTCTTCGGAGTCCAGCTCTTCACCCTCTTCGGGTTCCTCCCATTCAGCCTCGGAATCATAATCATAATCGGTATCGGGTAGCCCTCGATGATACGGATTTCGCGCAAGTCTTCGCGTGGATAGCTCGGACACGCGACGGGTATAAGTTCCCTGATAGGGGGGCGAATGTCTTCGCCAAACTTGAGAGACTTCATCGTGACCTGGCGAAGAAGTTCCTGTGGCCTAGGAGATGGCACTATGCTCTGGTTTTCAGTAGGCTGGGTTGGGTCGTCAGATCTTTGTAGCTGCAATAGTATGTCCCTGACAGAGGTCGCTGGCTGACGCCCACGATGGAAGGGGATTATCTGGAAGACTTCTGATGGACGGAATGGATGTATTTGGGTGGGGGTTTCGTTGCGTAGGCATGTATCGATCGTTTCGCGTACGTGCTCGAGGGCTTCGGGGTCACGCTCAAACCGATGAGGAGGTGCCACAACGGTATGAGATTGTAAAAAGAAAGCAGGAAACTCTCGCTCATAGTCTGATTGCACGCCACGAGTTTCGCGGGAGGGATCGGCTGTAGTAGATGGCTTCTTAGGCGAAGGAGCGGTGATCACCTGTCCCGATGAAGCGGCAGGGATCGGTGGTTTGGCAAAGAAAGAGTTCAATTTCAATTGTGACTGAATCGGTCAGTCCATGGGCATCTTCCTGTTAGGACGATTATGGATGCCACTTACTCTGGTCTTCTTCTCCTTCTCCTCGTCCTTTTTGCGCTTCTCTTCTTCCTTGGCTGCCTTTTCATCTTCCTTTGCTTTCTTCTTTTCGTCACGCTGCTTGCGTTCCTCTTCACGTTGAGCATCTTTCTTTCGCTTTTCTTCTTCCTTGTGTCGTTTCTCCTCGTCGCGCTCAGCGTCACGCTTCTTTTTCTCTTCTGCCTTGAGGCGTCTCTCTTCTTCTCGCTTAGCCTTCTCCTCCTCTTTCTTCACCTTCTCTTCCTCCCTTTTTGCCTTCTCCTCGGCCTTCTGGCGCTCTTTGGATTCTTTTTCTTGTTGCTTGGAATCTGTGCCAGCAGAGACTACCTTGCGTTTCTTAGAGGCCGGGGTATCAGGCTCAGGATTAGAGGCAGCGTTGGTGCCTGGGGATGTGAGTCCCCCGGCACCAGGACCGTCTTCATTTTGTTTACGTGTCTTCCTCATCACGATTTCGACTGAGGGGGGAGGTGGAAGAGTCCGTTTGATTTCAACTGGCGGGGAAGTAATGCCGTCAGTTTGGGGAGGGGGGATAGATGGGTCGTGATTTTCTTGGTTTTCGTCGGCGAACTCGGTCAATGCTCGCTTCGCATTTGGCGAGGGTATGCTGGCATCATCAACCTCTTGAATCGAGCGTTTTCGGGGACCGGATGAAGGTGACGCGGGAAAGGATGGGGCAGACTGCATCGGCGATAAAGATGCGCTGGCTACCATTGACTATTGACTCCAGGGTGGGTGGAAAGAGCTAGACAAGAGCCTGAAGTCTTTGGAGTGTAGGTGAGGGAAGGGGCGATGGAGACAGGCTGTCGTGTGATAGGTCGCGACTTCGGTTCGGGGGTGGTTTAGATCGTGTCAACCAAGGGAAAGTGCGACTTGGAAAGACAAACAACAGACGTCACTTGAATTAGACAATTGGTCTGGAATCTCAGAGCATTGACGTCGCTGTTTGACGCACGGAGTAGAGCATTGACAGTTGGGCCAACACTGGGACGCGTTAATCGTTTCGCGCTCGCGACCGATAAGCACGTGTGTGCTTATGTAACTACTATACATGCCCGAATTCCCCCCGGGGCCGGCCATTGTGTGGGGTCTATAGTATGACAATTTATGGCATGATTTTCGACCTCTAGAACACCATGGGATAATCATGATGCTTTGCCCTTCAGTATTTCCAAGTCACTCAATTCCTTTTGTTACTACAGTGAGATTCAATTACCTTGCACTACCCTATACAACGGCAATGAGACTAAAACAAAAAGCCATATACCCCTCTATGGGAGTTATCCTAAATGCAAGAGGAATTGAGATAATCATTTGGTGAAATTACTATCTCAGGATTAAGAGGACCTAAGCCAGATGACCAACGCCAGGACGGCCCCGTATGCAGCCGTAGAAGGACGAAGATAACCCAGAGACCCAGTCTATGGAGACCAGCAGTGCCATCGAGGATATACAGCCAGAAAGAAGGAAGCCTGGAGAAAAACAGAGATGCGGCGCTTTAAATAAAAAGGGGTAAATCAGACAGCAAACATGCAAAGATATAGACAAAGCAGGATGACGCATTGGTCTAAATCATCAAGATTTGCCGAATAGAGCCAGGCGTGGAGTTGCAACGTGATAGGTATTATGTGCAATTGATGAGGCGGTAAGAGAAATCACGTAGAAATCATAAAAGATGGAAGAAGGCGGGAAATGAGGTGGAAGAAGAAAGGAGGGGGAGGGGGAGGAGAAGGAGGAGGATACAAGAGCAGGCGCTGCACGAGAACAAAGACCTTAGTCGCTGTCCGAGTCGGGATTTGCGACGAAAAGCCGCACATTGGTCATGGAAGTAGTTCGCTCGTCTACACTGCCTCGTCGTCGCAACTCGGCTGCCTTCTGGGCTTTCTCAGCTGCCGAAGTGGCCGCGTTCGGAGCCTTCATGTCACCAACAATGTCGTCTTGCTCTTGCTCGCTGCTGTGTGTTGTCGCGAAATCATCTTTTTGGAGAGATGACAGTCGACTCTTTTCTTCTTCGTGAATCTCCGCGGGTGTATTTTCAGACACTTCTGGAAGGTCGGTCTTCTCGTTCGGAGGCGTGCTATTGCTACCCATCGTCCCCTGTGTCCGCGAGTATCCACTAGGATAACGGTGGGTACTCCCCAGAGAGCTGCGGCCGCTGCCGGTCCGTCTGTGAATTGCGCCACCATCACTGCTTCGAGCGTCATCATCCCCGTCGCCGACCTCGTTCGCACTCAATCGCACGGGGACCTTGGCGCCCACAAGGTTTGAAGGTGAGAACTCAGCAGCTCCCTTAGGACCATGTCGGATCTTGCCACTGCCCAGGGTTCCTGCCCGGCCAGAACCTGCGCCATGAACTTCAAGGTATGCTCTCTTCTTGTCCCGCAAGGCTTGTTCGCGCATTCTAGCGTCTTCAGGCTGTGCCCGGTCACACCACACGGTCGCCTTTTGCCGCCGCATGAGAGCCACATATCCAAGTTGAGAGTTGGCAGAGCGAGACGAGGCGGTTCGCCGGATATCAGAAACGCCTTGCCCCGCGTGTGGCGTCGGGTGGTTGCCGGTAGACGAGGTCGAGGTAGTGGTGCTAGACATGCGTCGAGAGGCTGGATAATGAGAAAGAGACATGGTTTGGGGAATAGGAGGCGGCGGAGGTGCGCCGTGGTAGTGCTGAGAACCACCTGAGTAGGGCAGCACGTTGGAGGATGTGGTTCGAGTCCGACTATGTGTGGTCTGGGGGCTCGCTAGATGGGGCGCAAGTTGGGACCGTGGAGAATCGTAGGGCTGGTATCCACCATACCCGTGCTGGGCACTAGCGAGGGGCTTCCGGGCAGGAGGCCCTTGGTGGAGGGGCATTCGAAAGTCAGTCATGCTGGGCGGAATAGTACGGCAGCCTTAAAATCCCAACCTGCGGGGGCCGCTGTTCTAGGATTTCGGTTTGCTCGTGAGCGCGCGGGGGATTATTTCAGGAGGTGAAATCCTGATTAGTGATGACTTGGAAAGTGGTGTTTCCGATGCGCGCGCGGCTGACGGATAGGGAGATAATGCGGCCTCAGCGCCCACTGCAGTATGCAGCCGCCACAATCCGCTTTAGGGGGTCTTAAGCGGAAGGATGAGAGTCGAGACCTTGAATATGTAGTGACACCAAGGCGTTGTGTACGTGCAATGGGCTGATTCTCGGGCTGGTGTTCGGGCTGATTCTCGGGGGAGTTTTGAGACGAGGATGACGGGGTAGGAGCGCACACAACTGCAACTCAATCGGTAGGCGATCTGGACGGCTGTAATGATAGGGAGGGATTACAAAGAATCAAACAACAGTCCTGGAGTCCAGTAAAGGTCGAGATGGGGAGAAGTCGGGATGGACAAGTCTTAAGGGGAGGGCAGATCGGGGGGAAACCTCGAGGACTTTGACCGGCTGTTCCTTGGTTCAGTAAATTGATTGGACGATACGGAACACGGCGGAGGATGTACTTTCCCACACAATTTGGCGAGTGGAGTACCTAGCTCAGCCACACCTGAGGCTGGAAACTTACGGCGTACGGTTACATTTCAAGGTTCAAATGTTTCAAATTGTTGTCTCTCTCCAGCTCTCATCTCAAAATCTCATTTTCGGCTTTCTGTCGTGGACCAATGCTACGCTGGCATGACCCTACAAATTTGCCTCACTAAGCATGTGAATGCTTGAAAGTGACATGGTCGTATTTGGTGAACCCTTGATAATTCTAACTGAGGACAAACGGCTCTGTGAAGAATGTTTGGTATATTGGTACGAGTCGTAAATCGAATCTCCCAACTGCCATATACCACATAAGGGGCTTCAGCTTCAACCGGCTCCACCATCTAGCCGCCCGTAGCTGCACCCAGGGACGCTACCGACAAGGTTAGTTCATAGTGCGCACATCTTTCCATATGCGCCGGGGCCTGCGGTTAGATCCCCGTTCCCATAATTGGCGTCCCGTTTTCTAGGGCTTTCAGGTTAGGCTCGAATTGGGAAATTATGGCATGGCAGATCGCCAGATACATACTCTTAGCGACTTCAAGTTAGTGGTAATTTGCTACTACTCGTGCGAGAAGTGCATGATGCTGGTGCGGATAGGCTCGAGCTAGACGGCCCAATGCGACGTATACCTCGTTAGATTCACATACCGATACGAAATGCCCCTGGCTCGACTCCTCCACGTGTCCTCCTCAGTAGAGACGACGGAATGCCGGCCCGCGCTCCAGAACGTCTAGTATCTGCCATCAGAGCTGGCCCTCTTTGGCTGAGGGATTATCTATGTCAAGTCCTCTTTGATAGGCAGAACGACCATCTGAGTGGGGACTGCCGCGTGGGCTATATTGCTCAGCTACTTGTCTAGACACTTGATTGCGTATAAGCTATGAACATAAGGACAATGTCTCTTATTGCAAGACGTGCTAGCGTCTAGTTCCCAAGCCTCTAGGTTCAAGTATCTGCCATATACGGAGTAAAAGGGGCCGGGACCGATGATAGCGCGCTGATCATTGGCTTTCATTGACCTGTGCACAATGCGGGGTATAACTCCTTGCGACAGGAAACACTGGAAAGGAACTGCTATCTTGTACAGGGCATTCGCGCTCAACTATCCGGGAGTAACATTCCTATTTAGTGTACGGAGTACTCCGTACTCAGCCACCGGTTCTGATTCTAGAGCTGTATTGATGAATAATTGGACCAAGCCTTGGAAGAAGGGGCATAAGACGATCCCTTCTGTTAAATACTGCGAAACCCCTTGAAAGCACGACGTCAATACATATTACAGTAAAACAGCTAATGCTATAGTTCAATACGATAAATTTTCAAAAAGAATGGATATAGCTGCGCCACACAAGTGGGCTGTATTAGCTCATTGGTGGACCTCGACGTTGGAAGCTGCAAGTAGGAAAATGAAAGTCGTGACGTCAAGATGTTTCAGCGTATCCGAGTTTATACAAAAGACAAGAAAAATTGCCTGTGCCTGATGATACATGGCCATTCCGAAGGTACAATCCCAACAAACCATTGTGGGGGGAAAGAAAAAAAACAAGCTACGACAGACGCTAGTATGAACTCCTTTATAGGCAGAAATATACTCCGTACATCTGCATGTCACAGCTTATAGCCTGAGACTAGTGGATATTAGCGGATATGTCGAGTTCATATCTTTTTGCAGTTACAATCTCACATGGCAAAGTCGTGTCATCCCTATATGCGTCCGAGCGTGAGGTCCCCACCGCTCCACCCACACTAGTCTACTTTGGTCTGTATAAAATCGTCCACCCTCGCTAAACTATAGCGCGTTCATGACCCGCTTCATTATACCTAATTCGTTGTACGGCGGTAGAGAGCAAAACGATGCAATAGGAAAATATGAGAGGCGAGGAACAGATAATTGATTTGGCATATATCATTACCATAACTCAATACTATCGCAAAGATAATATATGCGGAGATTGGAACCAGATCCAGAACGATGTGCTAAAAACAAGGGTGTAAGGTTTTAGAGAGAATCAGACCAATCGCTGTCAAGGTTGAAGATTTCTTCATTGCCTTACTGTGTTGGCTGAGTTTCTTCTGTTCGGGAGGTGTGCCCATCATCCGTGGCCTTGCCCCAAGCGTCTTCGAAGGCCGAATCCGCCAAAGGCTCAGGCTCAGTAAAAGCTGGTTCTTCGGCCATGATGCTGCGTGATTGTAGATCAATGACCTCCTCCTCTTCGTCCTTTAAATCAGCTTCCACTTCCTTCTCAACTATCACCTGGGAGAAAGACGATGAAGCAGTTTCGGCATCGACCAGATCCGTCTCCCTAGTCGATACTGCGTTGTTCTTGGCACCAATAAGCTCGAGGTCAAAGTTCGAACTATAAACCACGGCAGAGAAGGCTTCGAGCTCCCGCACGTTCTGGTCCATGGCGACCAGATACTCATTTGGTGGGTGGGCACCATTGCCAATCACGTGTGCCTGGCGAGTCATGACAGCCAGAAGGTTGGCAAGCTTTGTTTTACGCTCGGAGTTGGCAGCTAGGGGCACAACAGTGGCAATTGAATCGAAAGACTGCAAGGCTGTCTCTGGTGCGGAGGTCGGCGCCTTGAAGGCGTCAGCGGCACATCTTTGGTCAATAAGGGTTGAGAATCCCTCGTTATTAAGAAGTGTGAGAACGAGGGAGAAAGAGGGAGAGTCGATCAAATCTGCGGTCTCATCCAGGAGGTGTCGCAGCTTTGACGCTGTCTGGGAAGAGGTCGGGTCGGCTACGCCTTCCACGCCCGACTCGCGTAGGACATGTTCTTCTTCCTCTGCCGGGGGAAGCAAGCAAGAAAGCCATTTTTGAGATCGTCGCTCGTCCTCGGTGCTGCCTTCCACCTTCTTTCGGATTTGCAAGGTCAACTCGGAAAGCTTGGCCAAACTGATATCTTCTCGTGGATTCAAAGGCCCAAACACTTCCTCTACGGCAGTTTGCACTCTCCCCATCAGGTCTTTCCACCCGCGGTGAAGCAGCCACCAACTAAAGGCGAGATAACGTCGGTTGGTCTCGAAGTCATCGCCCAATGTTTGAGTGAGTTCATCATCGTGGTCTTCAAGACTGATTGTTGAGGCGTTGGCAGGTGGTGTAGCAAGGGAGATCACACTAGATAGGTAGTTCCGACGGCCGAGCAGGTTGAGCTGGACATGAGTGAAGATGGTGAGCAAGGAGAGAGTGTAGACCATAGTAAAAGACCGAGTGACAGCTAGGAAACGTTAGGTTCTGGCAGAGATGTGTTTATGATGCAAACTGCGAAGATAAAAACTCACAAGTAATCTTCACCTCATTCCACAGCTGTGTCTTGTTCCGTTTGGGCCGAGGTTGTCCGTCCGAGTTCAGAGAAGAGTCCCCAGCCTGGCTTGCGTGCACATATCCCTCACTCTGGAAACTGGAGAGGCTCCTCCGATCATCGTCCGGCAGACTCGGAGATACCGAGCTCAGATCCGACCCAGTTGCCTCACCTGCATTCAGTCGAGCTAATCTTTCTGCCCGCTTCTGTTGTAACTCCTTGGTCAACTCCTCAACCGGAAGAGCATCGATAATATTCTCTGCGGCGGTCGGCAACAAGGCGAGAACGGTATATGTGCAATCGGTCTGGTTTTGTTCGAATCGTCGGCGTAGACTATTGCCACGGGTCAGTGATTCCGGTTCGGGGTATTCTTGTCGGGGTTGCACGCGTTACAAGCTCGCGTGATTGCCAGCGGAGGGATAGGAGTCATCAAAACCAAGGAAAACTGACTTTTCGCGAGCAATCCGATCGCTGCTCATGCGTTCCCGTGCCTCGGAGATCTTGGATAGCACGTATTGTCCGGCCAAGTAGCCAGCTCCTATCACCCCAGCCCCGATTGCAAGGCCTTTGCGATTGCGCTGGAACCAGCGCCTCGTCGCACCGATCATATTTGTGTTTGGTGCTTCTCTATGAAGAACTTAAAATGACATGCAACATCAAATCATGATAGATCCAGGAGATGAATGATTCAGTAGATGGGGATGACAGACAGGCTTCGGGCGCTGATCGCCAGTTTCAGGCCTCGGCTAGAGCTCACCCTCATGCAGTGAGCCGAGCCTATAAAGCACCACAGAGGCTTTAAGTACCTCAAACGCCTACATATGTAGCTACATGCTCTAGAATATTAAGTATCTTCCCATTCATCTAAATTATCCAATAATTATCGTGTCTGGCTAGAGCTCTGCCCCGGATTCTGCGTGGCTTTCCCACAACAACTCGCTGATCCCTGTATGTCTCTTTCCAAGGGATCTTATCCTTTTTTTATTGCTCTTTAATACTCCGCTTACTCCGGAGACTCCGTACTTCTCCAACATAAATGTTCTCTTTCAAACTTGTTTTCCCCCAGTTCGATGATAAGCGATAAGCTTCAGGCGGTTGCCGATATAGGCCCGCCCCCCTTGCCATATCAGTCTTGGAGTCATCGCTCCACCTTAACACCCCTCTATTCGAACAACTTGCTTACAGTCTGTCCCTCTGTTCTTTATTTATGATAATACTTCCCCTTCCATAAGAACCATTTGAGACTGCACCCACGCCCAACCCGCTTGGTTGCGAGCTGCGTCATGGCGGGGATGGAGCCCCGCAAAACCCCTCCGGAGTACTTCCTGGAGATCTTCGCCGACACCACCCATGTGCGAGATGTACTGAAGGGTGAGTTGTGAGCTGGGGACATTATAAGCATTTTCTTAGTACTAATGCTTCATGCCAGGTGTCCTCAACCTCATTTTCTTCCACCGTTACTTCCCTTCCATCCGCCCAGTCACCTTTGACGTGCTCGACTTCACACTCCCCGCTATAAACGATGCAGATCTAGAGACTCTGATTGAATCGCGTATATCCGCTCTGGTCCGGCAACACCTGTCCTCCGCAGCCGGCGGGCACGATGGCCAAATTGTCGGTGGGGGCGGCGGTGTGCGAGGGCGGATCGCAGTCGAGTTCTACGAGAAAAAACGGCGTCGTTCTGGGCACTGGTTTGGTGGACTGACAGGGAAAGGTGAGGAAGAGGTGTGCTGGGAGATTTGGACACTTGATGTGACAATCGCGACACCGCGCACTGAGTCCGGTATGTACAGCCTACGGGTCCCTTTATCCAGAGCTAATTTGGGTACAGAACGAGCCAAGGTGCGCAAGGCAATGGGAAATATGCTGCAAAAGGCAGCTTTGAAAATCTTGAGCGTCGTCAATCGAGACAAAGACCATATCCCGCCCATCACTACCAGCGACTCCAATCCATTCCCCTATAGGATTGTCGTCAACCCTCGTGCCGACGGCTGGGGAAATCGCATCGGTCTCTACTGAGCTATGCGGTTTGACTAAGAGCTTGGACGATGCACTTCGGAATTGTGAAGTCTGATACGTTCCCACTCCGATTATTGTTCAACCAACCGGACACGTTGCTCCTATTCCCCTCAGTGGAACATGGCCGCGGGCGATCGACCCCGATACGATTTACGAACTATGTCAGATATTATAAAAGGGCTATTACTATGAGCCCACGAAATCCTTATGTGCTGGGCTTGGGCTTTCAAGCGATGGCTGTACGGAGTCAAGTGTTTAGGTGTTTATTTTTTCGGATTCATGAGAGGGCTGGGCTAGTTCTTTTTACAATGCGGCGTAAGTACATATGGATCTTTTTTTATACTCAATTACAAATATCAACACGAATATCCTATCCCGGGCCATCGATTGAACCCTAACGAGACATGATAGACGAGAAAGGTGTGTGATCTCGGTGTACAATGTCTCTTCAACCAGACCACCATGGTATTTGTTTTGAAGTATTCCTGAAAACACATTCTACGGAAGATCCCTCCTGCATAAAGTCCTGCATGTCGTAAGCAAATTGTATCACTAGGCCAATGATATCCCATCTGATCCCCCAACACCCAATATTTAGCCGCAGCTACAACTGCCCCTCCATGCAGTGTGCCAACACCCCGATGCAAACCCAAAGAAGCATCACATTGCTCCAAGCAGAAGCCGACGATGACAATGAGAGCCATTTCCGATTTCTGATAAATGGGTCAGCCAGGTATATCACCATTACCCAATGCATTTGGAGCACGGATGATATGTTCCTCGGCCCATCTTTAACCTTCGATTCTCCCCGGTCTTCCTATAGGCGACTGGGACGATGGACTAGTAGCCAAGCACCCAGAAACTGGCGAGCCATACTTTGCACGCACCACACGAACCTCGTTTCCTAGGGTATGAAATACATGGCATAGCACCTTTGTTGATTATATGGATCTTGAAGAGAGCAGGAGACTTTATACGGGCGTTTACAAAGTCAAATGTCTGCAATTTGAAGAACTATTAGTCGTCAAGTTTGCTCGCTTTGATTGGGAAATTGGATACATGGAGGCCGAGACTGCTTGCTGCCTACCAGTCGATTGAGGGTTATGATATTAGTCCCCAGTTCCTGGGCCATCTCACTGAAGATGGTCGTGTTATTGGTTCCTGATGGAGCATATTGCCAATGCACGGCATCCTGGGCCGCAGGATCTTGGAATCTTCGTCGAACAGGGGTGGTGAGGGTGGTCTTTGTTAGGACTATTTAGGTGTTATTATCGGTATACAACGTATGATTCAGGTATGATACGAATTCGACCCGGGGATGCTGACCGTGTTGTCGTTAATGCTAAGTCCCGCGGCTTGGTCGAGTTCAAGCCACAGTTCCTTCGGAAGCGAAAGATGCTGGTTTATGTTAATTTGTCGTCAGAGCAGCTTCTTATGTTGCAAGACGCATATTGAGAAGGACTGTCGTATTGATAAGAGATCAATGAGATATGTGACCATTACCAGAAAATGCTTACAGGCATGTTCATGGGTACCCAGGCAATACTGATGATATGACATGCATGGGATATAAAATAACATGTGCTGCTGTGTGGTTTCGGGAGAAGATACAAATCTTTGAATCTATAGAATGAGTAACCGACACAAGTAGCAAGCCGTCTCGGTATAACCCCGAACCTGTAGCTTGATCCAGACATCTTGACTCGTGTGGCGTCTGTGGGGACACAGCTGGATGGCGCATAGCGCAATAACCCGAAGATATACAGGATGACGTAGATCTCGAAAATCTGAAAACAACTGCATCCACATTCAGAATGTACGAACTAAACAACTAATCCACTCGAGAGTGACAAAATGGCAAGAACCAAGATAAAAACATTCTCATATTCAGCGAATATCCAACCCCGGGCCCGTCGCAACATTTCTCGGGCCCTCTCTATTTCATGTTCCAGCTATTGCACTGCTCCTATTTAATCATAGCAACAAAGCTTTGAGCCAACGTCACTTCGTGCTTGGTGCCGCGCCGGGCACAGAGAATCGGATCCGCGACCCGCGCTCAAGCAGGTTCCGCAGACCTTTTATTGTCGACGCGATTCTCGGTTGAGAGGTGAGACTACAACCCTTTAGGTGGAGTGGGGCTTGCTCGCAGCCTCGGCCTGGGCGCGGAGGTTGGAGGAGGTACCGCTGCTGGAGAAGAAACGGCCAAGCACGGGCTGGAGGAAGGAGTGGAAGACAACTTGGGCACCGCTGTGAAAAAGGTCAGCTATCTGTCTCAGCTTGGTCACAGGATAGTAACATACCTAGTCTGGGGAAGGGCCATCCACATGATCAGGACGAACTTGAAGATGTAGTAGAAGGCTGCGATCAGTTAGCGAGATAGTAGAGATATTGTCATCTTGCGGGTACATACGGAACCAGTAAGCGGCGCTGATGGCGCTCTCAACGACAGTCAGGAAAGCGAAGACAACCCAGTACTATCAAGTCATATGTTAGAATCACTGGTCGCGTGCAAGCGAGAAAGATGTCACGTGGATTGTGTATGATAACCCCGAATCGGCAGTGATTTCATACTTCCGCACGATTGCGACAACAAGGCGGTAGAATCATGTGAACATACCGTGAGCCACTGTGCGAATGAAGAAAGAGAAGTCAGCAATTTGCGCATGGAATGGAAAAAGGTTACAAGAAAAAAAAATCTTACCTGAGTGTCATCCTTGGTGCTTGTGGTGAAAAGCGCCTGAAGGGAGTAGTAACCGGGGACCAGGAAACCGGCAAAGTTGACGAGGAACTCGCCAGCAATGTTAAAGAAGACTAGGAAGAAGTAGACTCCGACAAGGCCGAGGATGGCATAGACCTTGGGGACATTGGTCTGACGCTCAAGGTTGGCAAGGACAGGGTACTTGGAGAGCTACAAAACGAGGGATGTCAGCTTAAAACCACAGCGATGGATAGCACAGTGAAGTTCCCATGTGGGCATCAAAGAATACTATTGCAGTTGTTCCTGCTGTGGTCGCTGGCGCTTAGGAGCATCGCAGCCACCAAACGAGGGCTAGACCTGAGGCGCCAGCGAAACACACACAATGGCTGGAAACGTACCTCCTTGTCGAGCTGAGCAATAGAGTGCTGGGCACGCTCCTGGAAAGAGGCCATTTTTGCTTATAAACGGTATCGTTTGTGGGAAAACAAGTCAAAGAACTATTAGGATGACAACGGAGCGAGGGATGGTGAGAATGCAACTGGTTGAGCTGGCGGCAAGAAGCCAGAGGCTAGCTTGTGTGTATCACGTGATATGCATGACGTATTCGTCCACTGCAGGTGCCATGTGAAGCTGCACAAAGTAAATCGTTATTGGTTTGATATATTCTCATATATCACTACCTTGCATCAGAAGATCTAGCGCCGAAGGCCATGCAGATGTGGTTACTTTTCTAAAAAATACTGTCCTGCTGGAGCGCCTAACTGAGCGCAAACATATCACCTTGGAATGTAGGCGAGATTTAAGCTTCAGAAATACTAGCCCTGGGTCAACGTACCTAGATCTCACATGGAACAGTTGATGGTTCAATGTAGAGCCCAGTCCACTTTCCTCTCCACAAATCCCCCGAGGTACACATACATCCTACACATGACGTACGCGGCTTTCCAAAATCATGGTTGCCAGGTAAATATGTAGATTGTACCCAGCATGTTTGTGTTTCTAATAATTTCTTTTTTTTTTTGCTTCCATGAAACCGGGGAGAGTTCCTTTGTGGGCCTGCCCTGCAGCAGTTGGTCCGTCCGGGTCTTTGTGATGCATCCTTCTCCCGAGGTCCCGCCTATGAACGTTGACCAAATAGGGAATACATCTGGCACTGGTTCTCTCCTTCACATCCCATGAGACATCAGTTTGAAATAAATTTTTTCTAACTAACGCTATCTTCAACCACAAGTGACCTCAGGATTGTGTTTCCGCCCTGTGGCGGTCACGTGATCCGTGTTTATAGGGGCATGGTGAAGAACAGATTAGAACCCCCCCAAAAAGGTCCCGGAAAAAAAGGAAATCAAACATTGCCGAGACTACAATTAGTGCCTGACCGCCAGAGACGATCTCGGGGTATGATGTGATTGGGTCGAGGGGCTAAAAAGAAGACAGAGTTCGGGAACCAAGCCCTGACAATTAGGCTAACTCCCGTCAGACTTTCTCCCTCGAAAAATTCAGTTTGGCATCTTCACATTACTTTATATGGGTTGATACTCTTCAGTGGACCCTCGAATCCCCATACCCCCCGTGCACGAAAAGGCGGGCCATGTAACCGCATCCTTCGTGTACCCTTCTAAGCTCTTCCATCCCCAAACCTCGGGAGTTGCAATTGAATACAATTGAAAGCATTGAACGTGATTTAGGGGCCAATTTAGGATCAATTCTACGGAGTACTTGAGTTCCTCATACCACGTGGGACGATCCACAGCGACCTTCGGTCCTCGAGAGCTACTCCGATTTCCCATTCCCGACTAAATACTATCCACAGTTTTCTCAATGCGGCCACAGTGAGTTTACGAATACTCCTGGATACTCCCATCCAATTCTAATTGTTTCTCCCCTCCACGTTTAGACGCGAATACCATATTGTTGTTTTGGGTGCTGGTAGGAGCCTCTCCTGAGATATTCTCATAGGTCACAGGCTGACCGCAGGCATTCCCATGCGACGCGATAACAGGAGGTGTCGGCAAAAGTTGCTTAACGGGTTCGTTCCTTGTGTTTCCCGCTCTGCCCTGAGTTCTCAAGCTGATCATCACCATCCAGCCCAGTTCGTTCAAAATGTTTGGATTGAAAGCTATGACCCCACGATCGAGGATTCATACCGGAAACAGATTGAGGTAGACGTAAGTGGTCTACGATGTGCTGGAAATTGCTCGGCCATTAACCAAGCTTGACAGGGTCGACAATGTATACTGGAGATGTGAGTAATTCGGCGGTTTGGGTATGGCATGATGCTAAAATTTCGAAAGTCTTGACACCGCAGGAACAGAACAGTTCAGTAAGTTCCCCTGAAATCCGTACATCTACTAGTGAAATCAAAGCTAACAATCCACAAGCTGCAATGAGGTAAATCTAGACAATCCACCCCGACGATCAATGCCGCGAACCCCAAGAAAAGCACACCACGCTAACAACGCTCTCCACAGAGAGCTCTACATGAAGCAAGGCCAAGGCTTCCTCCTCGTCTTCTCCATCACCAGCACGTCCTCCCTCAACGAACTCTCCGAGCTCCGCGAACAAATCATCCGAATCAAAGACGACGAAAACGTCCCAATCGTGATCGTGGGCAACAAGTCCGACTTGGAAGAAGACCGCGCCGTACCACGTGCCCGCGCCTTCGCTCTATCCCAGAAATGGGGTAACGCCCCATACTACGAGACATCTGCCCGCCGCCGCGCAAACGTCAATGAAGTCTTCGTCGATCTATGCCGCCAGATCATCCGCAAAGACTCCGAGGGCTCAAGCAGCAGCAGCGATAAGCGCGAGGGCCCGAATCGCCATGACCGCAAGAGAGATAATCGCCGGCCGAAACATCGCCGCGGACCGTGCGTCATCCTTTGATTCAACAATTCAAGGGGCCCTTTCTCTGACTGGGCGACCTTGTCTTGTTTCATTTTCATGCGATACGACCCCCCTCTGCGACCTATGCCCTGCCGACGCTGCTATGCATCTTGACATGTCATGTATGACTGATGTTCCTTCTATATATGTTGCCGATATGTCTATGCCTCTTCTCCCTATAGAACCGTGCTTCGCTGCTACCTTGTATCTTTTCTTTTGGGCTATGCACAATTGGTGTCATCCTCTTTTTTATATTTGACATATTTGAAGTTTGGTTGATCTGGACTCTGAAAAAGATTACTTTCACGAGATGGAGAAAAAGGGCATTCTTTTCTTTTGGTCCTGCTGCTATTATCAGTCGGTTGATCGGCTTGCGCTAGATCTTTTGAATGTTGGGCATGTGGTTGAACCCTTCGCCGTCAACACAGAGAGGCGTGAAGTTATAGTACCGGATATCACATGCAATTCGAACCCTTTTCTTTGATGAGCTCCTTGGACCGCGCCATATAACTAGTTCTAAAGGTATTAGACTAAAGCATAAGAGTCTGAAGAGGCCTACAGACTACACAGTGATACAAGGTGACTATTCAGCGCATATTTCCATTTGACTATTTTACATATCAAGTCAATGGCACATAAACATACGTCTTCCATTCTATGCTTTTTCAAATTTATCCTGGATGAAAATTTGCATACCTCAATCAACCCATCGGCGCTCTACATCCGGAACACGCCAAACCTGGTTTGCACATCTGGCTCAGCCTTGCCACTGAGCGCAGCTGCCAGACCCAATCCCAGCATTTTCCTCGTTTGAGATGGCGGGATGATACCGTCATCCCACAAACGAGCCGACGAAAAAGTGGCTTCAGATTCGCGATCAATGCGTTCTTTCAAAGCTGGATCAGCGGATCGTCCAACAGCCTCCATAACAGCGGAGAGTTGCTCAGAGCCCATAACGCCGATCTTAGCATTAGGCCACATGAAGAGAAGACGAGGCGAGTAGGCACGACCACTAAAGTAATATCCGTTAGGAAGGAACTATATCGAGACAGAAGGTAAACTTACCACATTCCGTAATTACCAGCACCAGCACTGGACCCAAATACAACAGTGAACTTGGGGACATCGGCACACGCAACAGCAGTAACAAGCTTAGCACCGTTCTTCGCAATGCCGCCCTTCTCAGCATCGGCGCCGACCATGAAGCCCGAGATATTCTGCAAGAAGACAAGGGGAATCCGCCGCTGAGCACATAGCTCAATAAAGTGTGCTCCCTTGAGCGAGGACTCGGAGAACAAGATTCCATTGTTAGCCACTATGCCGACACGATGGCCGTGGATGCGGGCAAAGCCCGTTACCAGGGTCGAGCCATAGTCACGCTTAAACTCGGCGAATTCACTCCCATCGACGATGCGCGCGATCACCTCGTGAACAGGGATTTGGCGGCGTAGATTCGTGCCAACGATACCATTTAGCTCATTGGGGTCGTACAGCGGTTCTTTCACGACAAGCGAATCTCCATTGCTGTTCTCCAGCTGGAGCGGAGTTGTCGTGGTAGGGTAGTTGAGATTCGCGACCGAGCGGCGAGCAAGGACAATAGCGTGGGCATCATCGACAGCCAGGTAGTCTGTAACACCGGAAATGCTCGAATGCAGCTGACCGCCACCAAGGTCCTCGGCGGAAACCTCCTCGCCCGTCGCGGCCTTGACGAGAGGCGGGCCTGCCAGGAAGATGGTACCCTGGTTTTCAACGATAATGGTTTCATCACTCATAGCAGGCACATATGCACCACCCGCCGTGCATGGACCCATGACAACGGAGAGTTGTGGGATGCCAAGGGAGCTCATGCGGGCCTGGTTAAAGAAGATCCGGCCGAAGTGATCGCGATCTGGGAACACATCTGCCTGATGAGGCAGGTTTGCGCCACCAGAATCAACAAGGTAGATACAAGGGAGGCGGTTCTCTTGAGCAATGGCCTGTGCGCGGAGGTGCTTCTTCACTGTGATGGGGTAGTAGGTGCCGCCCTTGACGGTGCTATCATTGGCAACGATCATGCAGTTGACACCCTCGACCATCCCAATGCCGGTGATGATACCACCCGCTGGAACATCCTCGCCTTCATAGACACCGTGTCCTGCGAGCGCTGAGAGCTCCAGGAAGGAGGTGCCTGGGTCGACTAGGGCGGAGATCCGGTCTCTCGGAAGCATTTTGCCACGGGCGATGTGCTTCTCACGCGCCTTGTCATTTCCTCCGCGTGCAATTGTCGTGTGTAGGCTGTTCATCCGGTCGAGGAGTTCTTGCATTTGTTCGGTGTTATCGCGGTACTCCTGTGAGGAGGTATCCACTGCCGTGGGGAGAACGGATAGTGCTGAGGCATGGTGAGGATGTGTATAGCTAGCAACTGTTCTGCAAGCTGGTTGTGTAATCTTTGTTGACTGGCAGAATGAATTTGGTAGACATTTGCGTCCGAGTTGTGAGCCCCAGCTCCGAAGGACGAGCGGGGACGCGGCACGCATTGCGGGGAAGAGGGTGGAGTAACTGGTTTTAAGACGAAGATGGCAGAGCCCAGCTCAAGACAAAATGCAGAGGAATGGGTATATTGTGCGTTTCCCAAAGTATTTAAACTTGTATGAATAGTGACAGAAGAGAAGCGAGGGACAAAGCTGGGGTAGCCCCAAATGCGGAGGTGCGATGATTGCCGCTTCTACCCGAGGTCCATCATCATCCCCATGAGAACACTAAGAATGGCCAAAAGAAGTGTTGGACAATTGTTCGGGTGGAGAGATCATAGAATAGACACATCAATTAGCCGGTAGATAGATCATAGTATCGGTCGGGGATTCAAAAATGTGAAGACTTGCACGTTCCAAGGTGGGAAACCCATAGTATAACAAGTCCTTGATTGCGCGCCGAGGACTACCGCCCCCTGCCTTCTCACATATTTAAAAGGTCCACTTCCCCAAAGACAATACCCCCAGATTTTGCATTTCACATCGATTCTCTCATACAATCATGGCCTCCCTATCCCTCCCCTCTCTCCTTCGCACTTCAACGCGCGCAGTGCGGTTCCGCATCCCCGCACTCACCCCATGTTTCCGCTCCATCTCAACAAAGCACCCCACGGGATTCGTACCTCCGTCCGACGAAGATCTTGTAGAGCTGCGAGAGCGTGTGCAGGATTTCACAAGTACATTCCCCATGCTCTTGCCCAAGCCCCATTTCTAACATTGCTGTAGGGCGAGAGATCCCAGCCGATGTTGCTGCACGGACAGATGAACAGAATGAGTTCCCAGCGGAAATGTGGAAGAAGATGGGCGATGCCGGGTATGGGTTCTCTCAAGTGGTTGGCCTTCTTTCAAAAGAAGGGAGTGTGTTATAGCACCCATACTAATAGATATGAAGGTTTCTCGGTGTCACGGCAAACGAGGAGTACGGCGGCTTGGGGATGGGCTACCAGGCACATTGCGTGGTGATGGAAGAGATCAGCCGAGCATCCGGTGGGTCTTCCCGTACATCTGCGTTGCAAACATTGATCTGACCTTGAATCTGGATAAAAAGGAAGCATCGGTCTCTCTTATGCCGCCCACTCACAGCTCTGCGTGAATCAGCTCTCCCTCAATGGCTCAACGGAACAAAAAGAGCGCATTCTTCCTGGCCTGCTATCAGGCGAGAAGGTCGGTGCTCTTGCAATGTCGGAACATTCAGCTGGGTCCGATGTAGTCAGCATGAAGACCACCGCGAAGGAAGTTGATGGAGGCTGGCTCTTGAACGGAACCAAGATGTGGATTACCAATGTAAGCCGTTTTGGTGGTATAGATGGGAGTGGAAGTTCCGACCACATTGCTCACACTTTCTTACAGGGCCCCGATGCCGATTATATTGTTGTGTACGCCAAGACAGAGCCTGAACTAGGCTCCAAAGGCATCACAGCGTTCATAGTTGAGAAGAACTTCAAGGGCTTCTCGTGCGCACGTAAGCTAGACAAGCTGGGCATGCGTGGCTCTAACACAGGCGAACTCATCTTTGAGGATGTTTTCGTTCCCCGTGAGAACCTCCTGGGTGAGTTGAACCGCGGTGTCCGCGTATTGATGGAGGGTCTGGACTTGGAGCGACTGGTCCTGAGTGCAGGACCACTAGGGTGAGCCATCCCATACCACAACACAACTCTCACATTCTAACACTAGCCAGAATCATGCAAGCCGCACTTGACCTCGTCCTTCCTTACACACACGTGCGCAAGCAATTCGGTACACCAATCGCTCACAACCAGCTGATCCAGGGCAAGCTTGCGGATATGTACACTAAGCTGGCTGCCTCTCGTGCATACACCTACGCCACGGCGCGGCAGGTAGATAACGCCGCCGTAGAACCTGGCGCGATGGCGGTCCGCACTCATGACTGCGCCGGCGCAATCCTCTACGCCGCTGAGCGTGCGACTGAATGCACACTTGATGCCATCCAGCTCATGGGAGGAAGCGGGTACATCAATGAGATCCCTGCTGGGCGCCTTCTCCGGGACGCGAAGCTGTATGAGATTGGTGCCGGTACAAGCGAGATCCGCAGGATGGTCATCGGCCGCGCATTTAACAAGGAGTACGCTTAAGCAAGAGAATGATACATAAAATTATTTCATTTGGGATGCTATCTCTTTAGAGAGTATATGCAGATTATTCTAGTCGTTGTACATGTCATAAATGGCCCTATATCAAACATTACAACGGCCTACTTCTTCTGCCTAGCCGACCTGCGCACCGGTGGTGCCGCACGCTTTGTAGCCTTGTCATCGCCGCCTTTCCGCAACTCAACCCGCTTCGGATGAGGTGACGCCGTGTCCTCGTCTGTGTCATCCTTTTGTTCAGCCGCCTTCCGCTTCAGTCCTCTCTTCAACGGAATCACAACCTTTGGCGGCGAAGACAGTTTCAGCGAGCGGAAAGAGTCTGGGTCCGGATCGGGAGTTGTATTCGAGGCATCCCCAGCGTCCTCAGCATCAATATCCGAGGTATCCGACAAGATAACGTCAGACATCTCATCCGAACTATCGAGCTCGTCGTCGGTACCGTCATCAGCGAACATTTCATCGTCAGCCAGCGAGGGGTCGACGGGCTTAGATTCAGTCCCGTTTCGCTTTTTCAAGCGCGACCTATCTAGCGCCGGTTGGGAATGTTTGAAGACCTCCCGCCAGTTCTCTAGAAGCGCGACTTTCTCGCCTGTATCGGGCTCGTACAAAATCGCGACGTCCAGATCCCGGTCCAGCGCGGGTGTTTTCCACACCACACCCTGGAAGGAGGCGATATCCGGCATCAAAGGGGATTTCGTCGGCGGGATTCTGGCGATGTGGCCCTGTGTGCGAGAAGATGTCTTCGTTCGTCGTGGTGCTGTCGCTGCGATCTCGGTTCTTTTCTTCCTCTCTGCGCTTTGGTCGACGGTTGCGTCATCGTCGTGGTAATCGTCTGAATAATAGTCCCAGTCGCTGAAATAGTCTTCGACATCGATCCCTGGGTCTTCATATAGGGCGGCTTCGTAGTATGAGGAAGCAGCGAGATCGTCCTGGACAAGCAAAGTTTTAGTGTCTGAATTGATCTTTTTTTCTCGTGCAGAACTAATGGCGCGAGTCGGTCGAGGCATCGCCTCGAGGATTTAACTTACGACCATGTCCGGGACTAAATCCTCATACACGTAATCATCCTCGAATTCATAGTACTCATCGTCGTCGGACATCTTGGAGTGGATACTGAGAAAAAAAGTTGAAAGAGATCGAGCGGCGAGGGGTTCAAGGTGTTTTGCTGAATGAATGACAAGACTTGAACGAAAGTAAATCAAGTAAACGTATGTAAAGCACAAAGCAAGGATGCACGGCTGACGTGACGGAATGAAGATCGGACTGATCGTGCATTGAAGAAGATGGCAATCCTGCTAACATAAGCCTTGGCGTTTCTCCAAATCTATATTGCATTTACTATATGGGCTTGTTTTCACGCTCTGTCTTCGAGACTTTTGATTACAGAAAAGACTATTAAAAGAGAGAAATTGGTCTTATATTCAATGAGCATCAGATTATACCTAGGGTATGGATGTAGACTCTGCATTCTAATAATAAAAACCTTCGGCCACAAAAGCAAGGCATCCAACCGTTTTCATAAGTTCGAGAGAGACATGGATTTTATGCTTCTCTCTTTTTATTCCACCGGAAACCTCTTCTTTGGGGTTTTTTAGACGTTTTCTCTGCATGATATGGCTGTCAGGTCTCGTGCACTTTTGACTTCGTCTTCCGTTCTGTACACAGCAGCGGCCAACACTTATGTTAAGAATACAGGTAATATTTAGGATTCGGACATCAAATAACTTCATTCACTTTCTACTTGTGATATTACAACTGCTCATGTGATCTTTTTTGAATGTACTAGTCAATCAAATGAGTTCGAGGTACCATGCCTTTTGCAGTAAATACTTCCTTCATCTGGGACCGGACATCTAAACTATACAGCCTATTCATCTCGTAGAACATACAACGATTACTTGAATAGATGCCGGACGCCATCGAGGCTTGCGTCATACTAAGTTGTATTTATCCTTCTTCTCCCCCTCCTCTCGTCTTTTTTTTTCTTTCCTTCTACAACCATCCCACACCATGTACTACAGACGCCCTCCGGTGCATCGTCCCCACTGGGACTCCCACCTGTCGAAGAAGATTGAATTCAACAAACCCTACAAAGTCTTCTGGAAGAAACTACTTGTATATTTCGAATTTTGAAAATTATAAACCTCATCACCTCGGTGCTTGGGTAGGGCGAGGGGCCCTAGCCTTTATTCAAGTGCTGTGAATCCGCGGCTTGCTATCTGGGCTGGAGGTCATCAGTAAAGGCTGCGGCCCTGCGGTATTTGCTGGTGGCTGGCAACTTGGGCTCTCATACTCTCTCTTTCTTCGCCGGTGTTTGGGGAAAGATCCAGGGCCCGGGTCTCTAATCAAACGCCGAGCATCCATATTCTTGATACCTGGGTTAGATGCACTGGGTGAAGGTTGCGGCGCCTGCGGTCTTCATTTGGGACAGATAACTCGGGCTCTAAACCCCTCCCGATAACTGAGACCTACTTCAATGTTTGAATGATAATATGTACTCCTAGCTGAAGTGGACATGGTGTGGGACTGGATCACTCAAGTTTGTCTGTGGATGTGTCTCTTTCATCCCCATCCAGATCGGTGGTTTTTCCCACAGGGTTTCCTGCCGGCTGGACGTTCACCACGGTGTCATTGACACCAAAGTGTGACTACAAAACACAACCACTCGAAGTACTCTTTCCGGCCAGGACGCTTACCTCACGCAGGTTTTCTCCTGGTCGGTTTTAACGAGGCCGCATTTTTACAAGAACTCAAAACAATCTCTTGAAAATATGGATGACTCGACACTGCCGTCTGGAATGGGAAAGGTCTGTTAGAAATCGAATCGATCGAACCTGAAGAAGAAAATGGGCGTGGGCTGCCATGCCACCCGATGAATTCTGAACAAACAAGAGCACTCAACTTGGCATCTAATGACCCCGAAGAAGAAAACATGCATGGCAGCTCATCCCACTCAATGAGTCTGAAGAACCGAACCAAAAGAGGGCTCTCAAACGAACCCCGAAGATGAAATTAGGTAGGGTTGCCATGCCATGCCACGCAGTTAGCCTCGAAGAAACAACGAAGATGAAAATAGGCATGGCAACCCATGCCACCTGATCAGTCTTGAAACAAAAGGACTCAAGTGCCCATCAAAACGGCGAAGAAGCAAGCAGGGGCTGTCATGCCGCCAACGAACAACCCGCATGGCAGCCCTGCCACCTAGGGGATTCGGGTCCCCATCAAATCGACGAGGAGCTGCCATGCCGCCCAGTGCACATAAGTGCCCATTGAACCGATATCGAAGAAGAGAACGACAATCTTGAAAAGTCAAAAAAAAAAAACGAAAACAAGAAGAATCACCAATATCAATATCCCAAAACCCAAAAGAAAAACCAAAAATTCAAACAACATCACCAATATCGATATCCAACAACCAAAAAAAAAACGAACGAGACAACCAGCACAATCAACCAGACCATCAAAACCAACAAAACAATAAAAATACAATAGAGCCGAGAAGGGCGAGCCAAGAAGGGCGAGAATAAAAAAATGGAGCAAATTCAAGGCAAAGCAAAGGAAAAGTGGAATCAATTTATGTACGAGGTACTCTTTCCAGCTGGTTGTATTTATCCCACGGGTTTTTCTTCAGCTGGTTTTAACGAGGCCTCGAATTGATGTCGGAGGATATGGATATTGGGACAACTGGACGTCAATGTATTGACTTCAATGTATGGAAGGCGTTGCTGGACAGTCTGAGGGAGGGCATGGCACCTCTCTTTCGGGATGTTTAGTGACCAACTCAAAGGCTTATATATAGTTGTTGCTGGATGGTTCGGAGGAGGGCATGGCACCTCTCTTCTAAATTATCTGGTGACCCAAGATAAATTTATTATACTTATCACTTGGGTTCTTTATATATTGTAGATATCGCGCTAGAGGAACCAACCATCGTACATCTGATTTCTGTTTTGGCGGCTGATGAAAGGTGTGTCTTGTTGAAGAATATATTTTTGGAATTCGCAAGCTGCATAAACCTCAAATCTCATGGTGATAATTCAAATGTTGCAGTAAAGGCCCCAGATGCCTGAGTATCCCAACCAATCCAAGAACAACTCATTAAGTCCTTGTCGCAGAAGTTCATCCCCCATATAGTACGTTCTCGTCTTCTCCCACACAGCAGTCCCAAGAACACTCTGAAGAGGTTTCCCTAACCGAATTATTTCAGTAGATCTCAGCAGGTCCGCCCAATAGATACTCTCCGGTTGCCAGCGTCTTTCCTCGTCTGCGGTTGATGCAAGTATGTCAAATTCTGGTAGTGATTGAACAGTTTCCCAAATTCTAGGTGCTTCATAGTATGATGGTCTGCCAAACTTCTTCAAAGCTTGTTGAGTAAACTCAGGGTCAACCATCTGTCGAGAGGTTTGTCGCAAATAATCAATCTGCTGATCTATAAGAGTTTGTACGTTCTTTCTTTCTTGCGCGGGATCTTCTTCCTTCGTCGTCTTGTCAAGATAGTGGGTAAGTTCATCTCTCAGCTTTCGCAAACGATATTGTGTCCATTCGGGATAGAGAGAGTTTGTATCCGCGTAAGGGCGGACGTTGGTAATATTGCTGGAGTCATAAACGTTGGGCAATGTGGAACGGTATGAAGTGATGGTGGATATCCGCTCCTTCACACCTTTCGCGCGGGCAGCCAGATGACAGACTTCGCCGCCTTGTAGCATGACAGCATGACCAATTTGAGGACCCTCAACCTTCACAAGTTTTGGTTAGTGGGTGTATTTCAGTCTCAGTAATATGGATTCTTACACACCTTCTGTACCTCTCCGTCTCCCTTCTTGATATATGTTTCGCCTCCGATCATACCCTCAGTATCGCTCAGCATCAATACACAAACGTAAGGATACGAGTCGTAGCTTTGGCTCAGTTAGTATTCTCGGTGTTGCAAGCAAGACGGCTAGGGCATGAACTTACTGCCACGGAATAATAGCACTAGCATCTTTTAAAGGGTTGTAGGTTCGGTCTTCGGGACTCAACTCGAGTTTTTCTACCACCGGCTCAGCCTTGAGGTTACTGGCCATTTCTGCGATAGTAGTGCCTTCGACTTGAATGTTAGTGTGCCCTATCTCCGTTGGCATCACCACCTCCAGAGGTACACCAACTGCTTCAGACACAATCCTCATTGTCTCGGGGTGCGTCCAAAAGTCATTGACAAACATTGACTGCTTCGCCGCATCACGAAGCACCAAGGTCCCTGGGAATGGCGAGCTGGCACATTTGTCTATAACATCCTTTTGGAATAGGGCCCTCCGGTAGGCTTTGACACCTTCGGCTGACAATAATGGAAATGGCACTGTTCCTGCAATAGGCGAGGCGGTTGGACTCTGGTTTATAAGCAAGTCTTGCATTGTGAACTTCTTTGAAGGTGGAGTATAGTTGAGGTGCACCTGTTGGACGAGACCTTAGAGGCGGAGTTTTGCTAAGCGTCGGAATTTGTCTAGATTCACATACTTTTGGATCGAACACCTCCTCATTGATGAGCTGTCGAGTGGAGTTCCCGATATATTGCCTCAGCAGGTTGAAAGGATTCATCATGGGCATGATATATAGCGCCAACCTAAGAAGGTAATTGCTGCTGGTTTTCAATTTGAAAACCAGAGTTATGATTTAGGAGCGTGAAAGATATAATTAAAGCCCAATACATTGCTTAATAGTCAGTGTAACTAAAATATAGATACAAAGTACTCGGTTTGGATTGACTCACTTAGGCAGTGCGCTACAGCCCAGATAAGCCATACCTATCCAGGAAGGTCTGTCCGCGGGATATCACCAGAGTTGCATATTATAGGATCGCATGCCCACTTTTGAATGCTTGCTGTTCTTATTAAAGTGTGGGCTGGAAGTTGAGATTGCCCTCGTGAGCTGTGAATTTACTATTATTCCATAATCCTGCTGGACAAAGGACAGATCTACCCTTCTTTGTATCTCCCAAAATACAACCCAATGGCCCGCGAACCTATCGCTCTCTTCTTCTTACTTTATCTTATCAGAATTATGGCTTGATAAGCTGGACGTCTTACACTGGTCAGTTAGATAACATGGGAACAGAGGTGGACATTCCAAGTCTAAACCATAACATAAGATCACTGTTCATGGGACTACTAGTACCTCCCAGATTAGCGATATTGAAGCGTGACGTTGAGATGGCGAAGTAAGAAGATATACGTCTTTTCCAATATATCCAGCATAGAAACACACAAGACTATTGTTAAAGGAACGGGTGGGTGTACATGCGGCCAAGTAATCTACCCCAGAATGTCAAAAACATCCCAGTTTTCCCATGAAATTTCCAATAACTAATGGTGTATCACCTGCGATCCCTCTTTCACTCAGGCAGACATGGAGGAGTTTGCCAGGCATCGACTGAAAGACCCCGTGACCATCCATTTCCTGAAGCGGTTGATTATGTCATGCGCTCGGCTTTCCCCGCATCTCGCTTTGCGTCGGCTCAACAGGAGCTTCTCCAAACCCTTAGGGTTCTCCCATTCTTTACTTTATCCCTTCGAATACCTCGAATGATGCTTACACTGTGATTCAAATTACAATCTATTAAACCCCCATTGCAGCTGGAAAGGCTGTTCTCCCACCATCATGACCCTCTCATCCCTTCTCCGCATTACGCCCCGCTTAACCCCGACCGCGGCCCGCAGAACATCGCGAGCTGTATCATCGGTCACTAACACGTCAAATACAACCAAATCATTGGATTCGATTCTCATCGCGAATCGAGGAGAAATTGCTTTGTAGGTTGGGCACTGAATTAAGTGGAATTGGTGCTTACTTGGACATAGACGAGTTGGACGCACTGCCGCAGAACGTGGGATCCGGGTAACAACACTCTACACCGACCCAGATAGCCGAGCTCAACATGCCTTGAGCTCCCCATTCGCCTTTAATTTAGGATCGGTGTCGGCGTACCTCGATGGTGATAGAATCATTGAGATTGCAAAGAAAGAAGGGTGTCAAGCTATACACCCTGGTTACGGGTTTGTAAGTTGGCTGTGCATATTAAGATTCTAAATGGAATACTGACTCATAGCTTGATACACAGCTGAGTGAGAACTCTGCATTTGCGCAAAAATGTACCGAGGCTGGGCTGGTCTTCATTGGTCCGCCGTATAAGGCTATTGAGGATATGGGTGATAAGAGGTACGTTCATTGTGTTATTTGAATGCTCACTGTGCTTACTATATGTGCTCTACCAGTCGTTCTAAAGAGATTATGACAGCTGCCGGTGTGCCATGCGTCCCGGGATACCATGGACAAAATCAAGACCCTGCCTTCCTCGAGGAGCAGGCGGACCAGATCACATACCCTGTGCTTATCAAAGCCGTCAAAGGAGGTGGTGGAAAGGGTATGCGTATTGCTAGTTCCAAAGAGGTGTTTCAAGCTCAGCTTGAGTCGGCCAAGTCGGAGGCCATGAACTCATTTGGAGATGACAATGTGCTGGTGGAGAAGTATATCACCACACCACGACACATCGAAGTCCAGGTATTTGCAGACAAACATGGTAACTCCGTTGCACTGGGAGAGCGAGACTGCAGTATTCAGCGGAGACACCAGAAAGTTCTAGAGGAATCTCCGGCGCCTCATCTCCCTAACGCAACTAGAAAAGACCTTTGGGCAAAGGCACGGGCTGCTGCAGAGGCCGTCGGCTACGAAGGTGCCGGTACAGTGGAGTTCATTTTTGATAATGACTCCGGGGACTTCTACTTTATGGAGATGAACACACGCCTCCAGGTCGAGCACCCCGTGACCGAAATGGTCACAGGACAGGATCTTGTCCACTGGCAGATTTTGGTGGCCGAAGGAGCCAAGCTCCCCCTTACACAAGAAGAAGTGGAAGAGCGTATCGCCCAGAGCGGACATGGTATCGAAGCCCGAATCTACGCCGAAAACCCAGAGCTGGGATTCATCCCTGACTCAGGGCGTCTGCTCCATGTGCGAACGCCGGCTACGTCTGAGGACATCCGCATTGATGCAGGATTCGTGGAAGGAGACGATGTCTCAGCCCACTATGATCCAATGATCTCCAAGCTTATCGTGCGCGGTGCAAATCGTGAGGAGGCTCTCCGCAAGCTGGCTGCTGCTTTGGAGGAGTATGAAGTCGCAGGACCCGTGACCAATATAGAGTTTCTAAAGTCCATCTGCAAGAGCCCCGATTTTATCGCTGGTGAGGTCGAGACCGGCTACATTGAGAAGCACCGTGAAGAGCTATTCGCGCCGAAGACTATGGACGACGAGGTTTTGGCGCAAGTTGCGTTAGCCTGTTTACATCGCGATAGCGCCTCAGGGGCGCGATCCTCAGCAGGGGTTGCGGGCTCAACGGTCGGGTTCACTCCTAGTTACCAAGAGCGACAATTGTCATTTACCGAGACCGCTGGCCCAGGGTCTAGCGACGGCTCCACGTTCAGTGTACGAGTGCAGCAGACAGCAGATGACATATTCAACGTGGAAGTCGGCGGACGAGTCTTCGAGCAAGTGGTGAGCCGCATGGACCCGGCGTCGCACATCGTCACATCCTTTTTCGCACACACCCGGTTAGATACGACAGTGGTTCGAGACGAGGATACTATCATTGCATTCCAGCGAGGGACCCAGCACCGGCTCACGGTGCCCCGGGCTAAGTGGATGGAGAAGGCATTGGGACTGAAGGATGTGACAAACAGCGTTCTAGCCCCGATGCCGTGTAAAGTGCTGCGGGTGGAGGTGCAAGCGGGAGATGTGGTGGAGAAAGACCAGCCGCTGGTTGTTATCGAGAGCATGAAGATGGAGACTGTGATTCGCAGCCCACAACAGGGAACCATTGCGCGGGTCGTGCATAAAAAAGGAGTAAGTCACGCGCCATTCCCCCTGCCTTTGCTCTACCCCCGTGACACCCTCTCGTTTCGAGATTTGTTTTGATTTTGGCGCCCCCTGGTTACCTGCCTGGGCCGGGCTTTTATTCTTCTCACCGAAGCTTAAAGCTGGGCGGAGACAGTTGAAGATTCAAGAACCACTGACTAACCTGTACCTTGCAGGATCAATGCAAAAGCGGAACACCGTTGGTGGAATTCGCCGAGTCTGAATAGAGTGGGATTTTTGTTATTAAGATGTATCTCATTCCTTGCTATAGAGATATCGTCCAAGGCTGGCACACAAATGTCGAGTTGACGCTATTATGGATTGAATTTGATCATCATTCTTGGGTGCCAACATGGAATACGAGCAATCAAAGAAGTTACAGTCTCGAAGTGTGATGTGCTAGATAACTGGATAGTTTGAGCTATTGTTAATATCTTGCTTTGGGCCGTAGCAACCTCTGGGAATGGCTGCTTACCTTTGAATCCGCCGCCTCTTCTCTAAAAACTGCTGTCATTGTCAATGTCATAGTCATCGTCACTGTGGCTTTCTTCGGAGTAGTCCTCCGCGAAACCATTCAACTGGTCGAACAAGTCCCAGTCCACTTCTCCCACTAGCTCCACTGCCACATTGAGTGTCCCTTCAAGGCTCGTGATTTTCCTTCTAGCATCTAAGTTTGGAGCTTCCGCATAGACCTTGATGACGATCTCTTGGAGAGATGAAATCTCTCTGAGACGAGCATCAACCAGCACAAGGGCCTTGGCACAGATCTTCGGGCTGTCAAGTGAATCGAGCTGGTGTTTCATGGCATTTGTGCTGTGTGAGGTTGTGATGATCCTTTTCAGATTGGTGCAGTGGTACTAGATCTTTTCCAGTATTGAGGCTGTCCTCTTACAGGCTGACCTTGTCTTGAAGATCAAGTTACATGGTTATATATGTTTGCTGTTTGACTGCCAAAGAATTTGTCAAAGAATAGATCAAACAAAGGAGCCATTTCAAGCGATCATTATGACCGTATCAAATGCCCGATTCTAGGGGCAAAATAATATTGTGCCTCTTTCCGTTTTCGACTCTCACTATATACCCTAATGATACTAAATCACATTGAGACGGTTATAAAGCTGCGGCCCCACATAAGCCCTGGTCCACTATGTCCACTAGCCCCATATTTAGACGTAGTAGAGGGAAACTTGTTCTCCAGTATAGCTCGACATGTATTTCTTCGAGTAATTTCACATGTACAGAGTACCCCGCGGCAAAATGCACTACATGACACAAATACGACCAGGTCAATTGGAGCTAATTGGGCAAATGCATGTTGCCCCCGAAATGCAGAAAGTGACTGGTTCCTTTTAAAAGTAAATACGGAATAATAGACAAAGTACAGCAGGCTCTAAGCGATTTGAATGACGTACTCTGTACTCCGTACTAAATAATATAACACAAGTTTCATGTAATTCACTTGAAAAGCAAAGTATCTGATACAAAGGTAAAGCGCCGATATGACATCACCCTAGCTTGTTTAAGAGAGCTTTAAATAGTTAAACATCTTTAAGGCCCAAAGAGGACAAGTTAAGGTCCAGTAAATCGCCCCAGGTATTCATTGGCTTGTTTCATCGCAATTGTCCCATTCCCTAGCTCCTTAAGCCTTGAAAGAAAAAAGTCAGATCCGATGACTTGCTTTTGTTTAATACCCTCCCAGGGTTCCCTCCTGCCAATACCAATTTTATCCAATTTCACTCACGTATATCGCATCTCTCTCAACCCTACCCCATATACCTCCACAGCTCCAGTAGATCTGAAGCTGTGACCTCCAAAATGTTCAAGCCTGCAGTTGCACACAATGTCATCAAGGCTCTGAACACCGTCCGCCCTGCTACATGCTTCACCCGCCCTCTCTCATACACTGTGTCACTCGGAAAGAAGAAGAACGATGACCCTTTAAAAGACCCCATCATCTCTGCGACAACCAAGGCCCCCGAGGGTACTTCTGGTGTGGTGGAGGGCCAATTCGCTCGCACCGATGAAAGCGTCCACATCGAATACCCTCCCGACAGCGAGATTCCCGCTCAGCCCGTGGCTCAGGGACGCGGTGGCATGCATTTCAAGCGTACACTGGCTCAATTCTCACTTGAGAAAAAGGTCAGCGTCGTGACTGGTGGTGCTCGTGGCTTGGGTCTGGTCATGGGCCAAGGCCTCGTCGCTTCCGGCTCGGATTTGGCTATCATTGATCTCAACGGTATGTTCTACGGCCACTACAGATGAGCGGATCAAATAGTTTATCCTAACATCTACCACAGAGGACGAAGCCGAGTCCGCAGCTACCTCGTTGATCGAGCAGTTCCGCAAGGAGAATCCCGGTCTGGAAGAGTACGTCCATGGCCATACGATCTCAGCTCGCTGTAGTGGCTAATTTCAAACAACAGCATGCCCAAAGTCACTGCTCATTACGCGGACGTCGCCAGCCCCGACTCCGTGCAGAACGCCATGACCGAAGTGCTAGCCAAACATGGCCAGATCGATAACCTGGTCACCTCGGCCGGCTTTACCGAGAACTTCGAGGCCATCAACTACCCCTTCGACCGTATGCAGAGACTGTGGGGCGTCAATGTCGATGGCACATACCTCTTCGCCATCAATGTTGCCAAGCACCTGATGGAGCGCAAGGCGCCCGGTAGCATTGTCATGATCGGCTCCATGTCCGGTTCCATTGTTAACGTTCCCCAGCCCCAGGCTCCGTACAACGCTGCGAAGGCTGCTGTGCGCCACCTTGCCGCTTCGCTCGCTGTGGAGTGGGCTGGCCATAGTATCCGCGTCAACTGCATTAGCCCGGGCTACATGCTCACTGCTCTGTAAGTGTCCCGATGAGATACATCTGAACAAATAAATATCTAGGAGGAATCGTTGCTAATGTTGTCTTAATTCAGAACCCGGAAGATCCTCGATGAGAACCCCCAGCTTCGCGACCAATGGATCTCTCTCATCCCTGCCGGCAAGATGGGCACACCGGAGGACCTGATGGGTGCCGTCACCTTCTTGCTCAGCGATGCCTCCAAGTACGTCACTGGGGCAGATCTCCGTGTTGACGGCGGCTACACCGTAACTTAAACACGTCACCTGCGTGCTATTCAAGATTTCTTTTTGATTTTCTTGTTGCATCATACTAGCTTTTCTTTCGTGGATGTGAATTCGACATATACCAGTCATGTGTTACGACATGAGTTGCGGGATAACTTGGCCATGCATCTTGGGTTTTGCATTTTTGGGGGCCACAAAACTCCCGGAGAATACTCTTTTCTGAGAGTGACTTGGTTAAAAGGTCCACTGGATTTCTTTCGCTTTCAATAATGATCTTGAATCATGCAGTGTGGGGGAGCATCTCCTCACAAAAAGAGCTACACGGTGGTCCAGGCCCCTTGGGTCCTACCCAGACCACTCCCTGTTTAGCGAATTGACTATCCCAGTACCTCCTTGCAGAATGCAAGAATTAAACGTAGATATAGATGGGGTATAAATAAACCTAACCTGACGCACCTGCATTCCGGGATGCACCTCGGATAACCTGGAACTGGGAATTCCGCCGGGACAGATTCCGATCTCCCCGTTACAATTCTACATAGTGTGCGTGCGAAGGGATATAGTCGACTCAATACCTAGGTATATCACAATATACCCATGTCATCCGATATATCCCCAGGTTGAATACGAATGAAATAAGATATGGTACTTGTGTCACATTGCTAGAGCAAACAAATCTGCTTATAACGTCCTTACTATGAGCTTGTGGCAAATAGATCAGATATTTAAACCCCCTTTGCGGCCAAGAGCGAGGCATTGTCAAATTAGAGGTGACCTTTGGAGAATTCCAAGGCTGCAAAGCTCCAACCGGAGATTGTGCAACTTGCCCTTATTATCCAGAGACATCGAATCGATAGTCGAAGAGTCGCTTAACTGTGGCCCTCTGGCGTTTAAGATTGACACCATCCTGTCTCAGTTTTACAGCGCTCAATATCCAAAACAATAGCCTACCTCGCTCTATACCTCACCATAATTGGTTCTCTAAGGCCGTCTCTGCATAAATAATGAAACGAATACTTTTGGAACCATGTCAGATGATGAATACCCATTGTACCTAGATTAGTCTGTATGGTTGTTTCCACTGCAAAGGCCTGCTGTTGGTCTTTTGTCCGCGAAGCTAGCACAATTGCGCAGCGATGTAAATATTGTATATATAGTGCAGTGTTAGATAGAAACATGAAAGAGCTCTGTGAAACATATATATTTCAAGTTTTTCCATACTCGGTGCTGATTTCCTGTTAAAGCCTCAAATTGACAATGTCCCGTCTTGGCTTCGCTCTTATGTCGATCTCTTTTTTTATCTCCGACTCATACCACTTCCATGCTCCGTGCCGAGCCCACTTAGCTCGGGGATGAAGAAAGTCCTACGGAGCACTGTAAATAAAACCCCCCCTCTTTGTCGGTTCAAGTCCCCTTCCTCTCTACAATCGCCCACAAGCTACCATGCGTTTCAATTCCACATTAAGCCTGGCAGTACTGGCCAGCGCGACAGCTGCTCAATTGACAACCCAACTATTTAACTTCACCAGCTCAATCAACATCGAAAACAGCGAGCTCCGTCCTAACGGCCATCTCCTCACAACCTTTTACAAAGCCCATCTCTACACAATCAACCCGCTAGCCCGGAAACCCGAAGCCGAGCTCGTCGCCACGCTTCCCGGCGCCACAGCTCTAACCGGCATTGCACCCGTTGGCCACGACAAGTATGCCGTCGTAGGCGGGGTACGAGGCTCATACCACTACGACAATGAGACCATATACACTGTCGATTTCAGCAAGAATGCCAAAACGCCCACCATCGAGACTGTCGCCCACATCCCCGACGCCGATATGCTAAACGGCATGGCTTCAATGCCATTGCAGCCGCATATCCTCCTAATCGCAGACGCGCGGTTGGGATCCATCTTCCGCGTGGACATTACCACCGGTGTCTCGAAGGTGGTGTTAAAGAACGACGCCCTTGCTGCGCCCACGAACTCCTCCATGCCCATTGGCATCAATGGCCTGCAGGTAGTTGGAAATAATGTGTATTTCACCAACAGTGCGCTTAATATCTTCGCCCGGGTGCCTGTCAGCGAGGATGGACAGACCTTTGGCCATATACAGGCCATTGCGCGTCTGGAGCGCGAGGCTGGTGATACTGAATCCGATTGGGATGATTTTGCTATTGATGATAGTGGAAATGCTTATGTTGCGCAACCCCTCAATACCATTGCTAAGATCACGCCGGATGGAACGCAGAGTGTTGTTGCTGGCGGCAGTGATAGCTTGACTTTTATTGGGCCTACGTCTCTGCAGATTGTGCCGGGTAGGAAGTTGGCTTATGTTACTACCCGTGGAGGTGATAAGGGGGGTGTTTCTTATGGTGGACAGGTTGTTGCTCTTCAGCTTCGCTAGTAAATAGTGCAGGATCTGAGTATATATAAATATGGTTTTATATTTAGATGCTTCGTATGCCACTCATCTATTTACAACTAGAATCTAAGGACCTGTGAAAGTGACGCCGAAAATGACCGCTTTTGGCGCTTGAAACTATTCCCCTTCCACCCGTAACTAAGCCTCTGCTTGACCCCCACTATTCTGCACCATTAGTAGAGTTAACAGAGTCTTCAATATCTGCCATTTTTACCAATTAGTCGTACGCCTTTCTGTCAAGTTCTTTTAGTTATCACCACCTTTCCCGTGAAATTTAATCCATCGGTTGAATCGTCTATTCCATCGAATCCGAAGGAGCAGATCTCTCCCGTAGCCTCAGAAGTCCCTGGTGAAGGCACCAGACAGAATCTACAGGAGAAATCAGCCACGGGGAGCGTGGAGCAGATTTCGGTCTGTCAATAATCATATGGTCAATCCTTGGCAACCCTTAAAGAAGGTTAAGACAAAGAAGTTAAATATATATCAAGATTCTGATTCGGCCTCCATAGCGCTTTTCCTTTAAACTACTCTTAATTTATTCCTAGCCCGTACCCCTTTCTCTTATTGTAAGCTTCCTTTTCGTCCGAGAGATACCTGCTCGCTCTAAGCTTACTCCAGCTCTTAGAGAGAGGATCTGTAAGCTCCTATAGAGGCTTTATACCGGCAGAATATTATATAAACAGAGGGGGTTAAGATTACCTAGGTAATGCGTTGTCACTGTAGAGAGTTCAATGCCACGACCATACATTGTTGTACCTCGCCCTCATTCGGGGTTACGTCACCGACCCAGTGCCCTAGCTCCCAATACCCATGTGCGTTGTATAGGTAATAACCTTAGTTCTGACAAATCTCTCCCAACGCCATCCTCCCTAGAGCTAGTATTGGACACTTTGCGCACCTGTTCCTCCTATTTTGTCTGGTTGATCAACTTGCCCGTGTTGCACTTTCAAAATAGCCTCTCCGGCAGGACTCACGAAAAAGGAAGCCACGATGAGCTCGCGTGAACCCAGGTCGACTCGCCCCAAACTCACTAAAACCTCATCTTCTCACTCCCTTCCACCCACCGACATCCCATCCACCAGACTTCAAGCCACCGAAGTGTCGCCTGACAAGTTTCTCACTACCTCCCGAACAGGCATGCCATTCCATGAAACAGCGCCCACCCCTCAATGTACAAATCCTCTCCGCGATGCTGATTCTGACCCTAGCTCTGTCTCGGCGCATTTTACCACGACTGCCACCACAGGCTCAACGATTTCGTCTGAGCTCCATTCACGCGATCTCGATAACTCCTCCTACCGCGTTCATTTCGACGACATTTCTGTTCCACTAGATGCGAGAATCCTCACTGCTCCGTCGTTCCAATAGCTTAAAGCGGCACTAAACCAGTTAAAAGATCAACTTTCCAGCCCCAATCCCCCGTCGTCCCAGTTCATACATCTGCAAGACACGGGGGAAAACCTATTCTCCAGAATTAAAGAAGACCAAGAGCTCTTTCCCGGTGTGCGAGTGACAATCTCGTATCTTCGCGGCGAAGTACTGTTTAAAGTCATGCCAGACCACCAACACGATTCAATCATTGCCTTAGAAAGGCAATTCACAGGTCCGCCGTTTACATATATCTGCCAAGTCTGACATGCGTTCAAGGTTCTATTCATGATTAGGACTGAAGCTAGCACTAGAACAATGACGTAAAAATGGAACATGCCGTGGTCTATCACTAGGCAATATCGGACAAGATATCTAAAGATGAATCATGGATATTATTGTCTAAATAGCTAGAAACAAGAATGCATATATAGATCCACTCTGCAGGGGGGCTGAGATACCTAGGGGGAAAAGGACAAACGCCAAGACTGGGATTCAAACCGGGATATGCTGCTGGGCCCTAAAGGACTCCTCATGCGAGGGCGGACAACTAGCAGGTTTGTTCCCATTATACCATCTTGGGGTCGATAGCGATAGCCGCGGGGGGGGGGGGGGGGGGGGGGGTTAGCAATCGGCGGCAAGACAAGACTTGTAGACAGTGATTGTGTGAGTCAAGGGATGCTAGCTGAAGGGAATCAGCACCAAGGCAGTTGGCTCGTTCAATCCAGTAAATTATCCAGTACATGAACGAGCGAGGCTGAGGTACAAAGAGCATAGAATTAATTGGACTAAGTCTTTGGGACACGACATGCCTGGCTGGTATGCCTGGCTGGTTCAGACTAATGGGGCCCGCTGCCAGTTGCGAGAGGTACTGATAGACTTAAAGTACCAAAATCAGATTTAATGCAGTGTTCCATCGCACAGTCAATCTCTGCAGCAAGTTCAACGGCCCCCACAGATTGCTTTATCCGGCGGCCACATTCACACCGGACTGGAAGTATACTATCTTCCCATCTGATACCCAGTTGGAACTCAGAGATTCAGCCAAAATACTATTTTCCTTTATAGAACACAATACCAAGGAATGTAGGAAGCCAGGTTCATGTTAGAGACTGCCAAATTAGAGACGGCAGTCGAGGACCAATACTGATATTGCGGGTACACTAGAGTGTGCACGGTTGTAGCGACGTTCTGGCTATGTCTGCAACGGGTTGTGGCTAGGTATACGCTTGATATGAGCAGTTCAGGGAGAAGATATTTATGCGTCTTCTAGATCGTTTGCAGTGGATTTTCAGTGGAGAAAGATGGAGAAAGTACACCAGACCCAATCACAATCTTCCCCGGGTTTTCTCCGCATACCGCATACTCGAGAATTTTTCTCTCCCATTGGATATAGCGAATTAAGGGGGCAAATGGATGTGAATGTCACCTCGGAATAGCTCCTTGATTTGGCCTGAAGGATTTTCCCCAGGTCGTATTGGGGGTGTTCTGTATCACATCTAGCAGGTCGGCCGCCGATAGGGCTGTGTTTTTGCTACATCCCTGCTTGCAAAAGGACACGCAATTCGGAATGTAATAAGGATTTTTTTTCCGGCTAGTCCTTTTATACTTTAGTCTTATTAGTGAGTAGTGTAGTTCCTTGTAGACATGTAACGGTGAAGTCCCCAGAACATCGAGGGAATTTGGGCATATTTAGAGATATTTTAAGATTTAGGGAGATCCTGGGGAGATTTAAGGCAGATCTCTCCGGTCCGGTTTGGAATTGAAGGGGATTTCCCCCACCTTGACCGCTACAGGCAAGGGCGAACCCTGGGGTACATTTCTCAGTTTCTTTGTTTCTGATCTGTTTTTCTTTCTTTTCTCCTTTGTGGAGTATATGAAGCGTTTACCATGTTCGTATCTAAACGCCAGTTGAGCATGTCTAAAGGCTTTAACTGATGTGGTTCAAGTTCACCTTGAATATCTTGTTCTGAAGTATCGACTTGCCACTTCAGAGTATTACGACATCCGGAAGGATAACACGAGAGCTCTTCTCGTTTGAAAGGTCATCTGCCAGGCCTTTTTTCGTTTGCCAAAAGCGTTTTGTGCTGAATACAAAGGATGATAGGCAAGGCTTGGCTTTACATCAGCACGACTGGTCCACGCACTATTCAGCAGTATTATTTGATTCTACCCCCCCCTCGGTATTGCCATTCTCGCGGCACTCATCTCGGACGTCTCTGCGTGCAAAGTCAATATCCCGGTGTCATCTTAAGCTCGACTGCCCAAACAAACGTACAAGATGGAACCAAAGCTCCCCCAAGGACTCGTGGTCATGTCGAGTGTGTCTCCTAGTGAGATATTTGAGCAGGAGACATTAAGTAACGGTGTTTACAAGAGTCTTTGGCAAGGTACATCCCCCTATTTGGTCCCTTGGTGGAGGGGCTGACTGACAAGACACAGCCTACTCGATCTCGCACCTGGCCAGCAAAGATGAGACCGAACGTCGCCTAGAACATCTCTTCTGGAGGATATGGGGTACTAAGCGCCTCTCGAGCCGTATAAATCTCCATACCCTAGACGGTCTTATCCTACGCATCAAAGCACCGGCAATATTATCTGTCGGACAAAGGCTCACCGTCTCACCGTTGCCTGGGAATGGCGACAAAGAAAAAAAGGTAAACAAAAGATTGTTCCACACCGCACCATATCAACCCCATATTGACAATTAATGCAAGTCCATTAATAAGAATCAGTCAGGCTGCGCAGCCGAAACCTGTTCTCCTAACTCAATATTGAAGAAGCTGCAGCCTTCAGAGGTTGGAAGGCATACGACAACACGCCTGCTTCTTGACACTCCCCTCGGCACAAAAATAACACTCGAACCCTCCAATTCACCTACCACAGACATGTCTGATGAGCCCACTCTCGCTCCCAATGTGGGTAGCATGGGCCATCAGCGTCGCAAAAAGGCCTCGATGGATTCTGATTCTACTCTCCTGCGAGAAAAGGCTGGCAACCATCCTAAGAAGACATCCATTGTTGCTGAGCCTACCATCATTCCGGATAATTTGGGCCAGCACGGTCCCAAGAAGACCTACCTTACTGCGACACGCAACGGACGAGGCCCACGCCGCCGGCCAGTCTTCAACCGCCGCAAGTCCTCGCAGACATCTATCCCGAAAACACCACATCCCACTCGCCGGCGCTCCGAACCATCCACCAAATCCGATGGCGCTGACGCCATCTACGAAGACAGCTATGTAGAGCTGGGTCTACTGCAGCACCTCAGTTTCCGCGACGAGGAAGACCAGATCGCGCGTGATCTGGGACGTGAGATTGCGCCTGAGCCGAAGCCCGTCAAGCCACCTGTTCCACTATTCGACGACGAATTTGTCAATGAGCCTTCTGCCGTGGAGGCCGCGAAAGCAGCTCCAAAGATGTATCCTATTCCTTTTCCGCGAGCTTCTTCCCTCCGGCACCCAATGTTGAGCCCCGGGGATTTCTGCAAGATCACGCCGTCCTTCGGAGTTATGGAAAGCCACCTCGACTTGCCTGGTGGACCGGAGCTTGCTGCTCCTGATGATGTTGAAGGGGACTGGACCGATATTGATGCTATTGATTCGACACTTCCTGTCTCGCAGCCCTTCAAGAACCTGATCTCGCACCATGAGACTGTTGACCAAGACCTCCCAGCTGTACAGCCCATTGCCCCCGTTGTCAAGGCGGCCTCGTTGCTGTCATCTGCTATGAAGGGAGTGAAGTTGTGATTTCTCATCGCCGAGGGACCGAGTCTTGACCTGGGGGACTACGACTAAGGCACATCTATCTTTGCTCTGACTACGCCGGCTCTCGACATACTGTACATTACCGTGCCTCAGAGCATGCTCACCTGAAGATCTTGGAAATACCGGATGCTTGAAGAGGAAAGTATCCCAGCAGATGCGGGTTACTCTGGAAGACAAAGAGGTGGCATTCGCTCATCGTATGAAATTGATGGCATGAGAACCGAATAAAAGAAAAATTCATATCATGATATCCAAGTGCACGCTTAGAGCTTATTCTATGTATTTCAATATTCACAGTAAACAACAGAAGCAAATCAGTCTCTACTAATGAGACTACATTAAAGTCATCGAGCGATGACTGAAGAAAAGCCTTAGTGCATTGTATTGGGATAACGCCATCCATAAAAATAGGCAAAAGCACTATACATCATGACTCCAGAACCCGAGTGCCAGGTACCAAAAGAACAAACGAAGGCAAATGCTATTCAACCACCGTGTCCATCCGATGCCATCAAGGGATCTATCCATGATCCCACCCAGCAAGCCCACTATCAAAGCGAGCATGCATAACTTCAAAAAGTCCACCTAAATCTGCTCACCCTTCTCCGCATCAAACCCAGCCTCAGAAGGAGCCGACCTGCGACTCTTCAACCAGCGCACCAAGACCCAAGAAGCAGTCATAACCCAGAACACCAGGTTAATAATATCAATCCAAACAGCATGGCGCATACGATTAATCTTCGACGCATCACCAAGCTCAGAAGTAGCAGCAGCATCCACCTTGGCACCCGAACCCTCCACGGGATGAACACCAATATACATCTTCCCGAAGATGCCAAAGAGTGTCAACCACAGCACTGTGACAACAAACTCCCACGCAAACTGCGGTAGCAGCAGCGCAGGACCAGGCCCGGCACCGGGCTTGGCTTTGCGCATCACGAATGGCAGGATGAGATGGATGGCTGCGGTGACGGTTGCCAGGAAGGCTGTGATGAGCGCGTACACCCATTTCGAGTGCCAGGTGTGTTTGTCTGAGTGGTCGTGGCGAACGTCTCTTCCGTACAGGCCGATGACTGTTAGGCCAAAGACGAATTGGAGGAAGCGCACAGTTGAGAAGAGCATGAACGTTAACTTGGCGCTTTTGGTTTGTTCTTGTTGGGGTGCCTCGAAGTGCATTGTTGTGCCGGGCGTTGCGCCGGCTGGGTAGCCGCTCATTGGGTGTTGCTCGGTTTGGTAGTTTGGTGGATAGACGCCGGTAGTTTGGTATTTTTGGAGATCTTTCTTGGCTTTGTATTTTTTGGCTTGGGAGTAGCCGAGTTTGAGGAGAGGGACAGCCAAGAAAGACATTTTGGTTCTCTTGGGTGTGTGTGTGATGATGTAGTTGTTGGTTGTAAGGTGTGAATGTAAGTAAGGTAAATGCCTTCGAGGATATGGCGCACAGCGCAGAGATTATGATGAAAAATAGAGAAATGAGATTTCGATTTCGAATGATAGAAGACGAGTATTCCAAGATTTGGCAGACCAGATGCCAAATAAGAGGAACGAATCTATTGTCGAGATTGTATGGATGGATGGAGAACAAAGAGAAGGTTGCCCAGCGTATTCAAAAGATATAATAGGAATGAAAGAGCACAAAAGAAAGTAGTGAGAATAGAATGAAAGACGAGTCTGAGTTCAATGGCACGGCATGGCTGTTCTTTATAGACCAGCCCTATTCTCGTTCCCCGAACATATTCCTCAGAACTTGAACACAACAAAGGCTAATGGTGCTATTTTCTGGCACTTGCAACCCAGGATGAAACGAATCTCCTTCTTTGGGCGCGCGGTTCGCTCTGACGTTTCTCCACTGTGACATATCGTCGTCTTTCATCCAAAGACACTGAGTCGGGGACGAGAAGATGAAACGGGTAGATCAAAATAGAATACCGAACACCCCTGTAAACACAAGCTAGCCCCAATCATGCATCAAACTAACACCAAGTTAGGTCTTGCAGAACTTAGTGGGGCTTCAGTTCGCGCGCGCCAACTCGGGTTTGATGTGGTTTCAAGTTGCTCGAGGTCCAATCAAAATACATCTATTTTTGGGAGCTTACTATATGATGATCTAAGAAAAGAATACATGCTACGAGAATGGATATTGGATCATTTCACATCTCATTCAGAACATACATATCGTAGACATTACAATTACAAAGACACAACCAGGAACTCCAAGAACTTTGTCCGATCAGATGCTCGCCATACCAACATGCTTTGAGAGGGGATTTCCTTCCATGCAAAAATCCCAGAACACCACTCTCAAAAAGTATCCAACACCCAGACCCGTAAAAAAACAAATGCAACGATGAAATGTCAACTATGGGGAGTAGGTCAACTACGCCGGTCGACTTGCTCCGGAATCCGCAGAGCCCTTGATGCCTGGAACAGAAGCCGCAATCTTAGGATGATTTCCAGTGGGTAGTGGGGGCTTGAGGTCGGTGGGAGACGCAGGCGCGGAAGGTGGGACCGGCGAATTTTCATCATCATCATACTCATGTCCTTGGTATTCATCATCGGGAAGACCCGACCCACCGGCGGAGGAGTGGTCCACCGAAGCGCGGTCGTATCCCTGTTGGTAAGGCTGTGGGCCATTCTTGGATGCGTTCTTCGTCGCCTTCTTGGTCTTGCGACCCTTCATCTTGGCCTTCTCCAAAAGTCGTTTCTTCTCCGCTAGTCGCTTGCGCTCTTTGCGGTCTTTCATCTCATACTGTCGGATTAGGGCTTCGGGCGGAGTCCCAAAGATGCTCTCATATTCGCAGAATTCACAAATCCAGATATCCTGGAGACTCGGGGGATGGTGAAGGTTCGTGTATTGTTGCTGGATCTTGCGTTGGCGTGCAGACAGTGCGTATATGCTGCTTGGTGACCGTTTCTTCTTGGGGCCCACGGGAGTTGGCTCCCCACCTTGAGCGGGTGCTTGGGGTGGGGCCTGGTGGTTCGTGGGGCCAGTCTGTGCCCCTTGTGTGGAGAGCCCCTTGTGTTTTTGACTTGCCGGTCCGAGTGGTGAAGTAGGGGATCGATAAGGGATCGAATAGTTTCGCTGCATAGCCATGCCCTTGGACGAGTCGGACTCACACGTGAAGGTAAACTGTGTCTTGGTCGGAGTGGTATTTTCTTTTTCTTTCTCCAACAGGCTAACGTTGCTGGGACCTCGAGGCGGGGAGGAGTGTGTTGCGGCATTGGCGATCGCGGTGGAGATGATTCCCTGGTCAGAAGAAGATTCACCTGGTGCGTAAGTTAGAACACTGTACTCGGGGAACGGAGGAGAAATATGCATACCAGAAGGGCCGGGGGTGGACATCAGCCCATCCCGCCGATTGGGCGTCCGCGCGTTCATCCATCCATTCTGAGCATTTGGTGATAACGGGTTTCTGCTGCTACTACGAACAGTAGGACGTCCCAACCGACCTCTACCTGAGCCAGATATCCCATTTCCTAAAGGAGACGCAGGGTTTCCACTCCCATAATATGTGCCAGTAGCATCAGTCGGGGTAGGAACCTGTGCGGGGGTTGAGCTTGCCAACCCCATACTGGCGAACTCCGGAGACAGCGCAGAATGGTGTCCTCCCAAGTTTCCGGGTGTAGGTATCTTTCGCTTTTTCTTGTTATTCGTATTCTCAAACGCGTCATAGCCATCCCCGGTTGAAGATTTTGTCTGCGGTGTGTCGTGAGGGAAACTATGTGGATTGCCAGACGCGGGAGGTGACATGGACGATCTCCGAACAACACCACTCCTCCGAACAACCATCGGACCGCCTTCATCACCGCTCTCCAACTCTACCGACGTCTCAAATTCGTGGGTGTCAACCTCTGGTGACAATTCAGTCTCCGCAGTCTGCTGCACATAAACTTTGGATTCATTCACCGCCTCTTCGGAATCCGCAGAGACACCATAGAATATTTGAGATGCCGGCGGCGTAGGAGGATAGAATAGAGTGTCGGCAGCATCCGAAGAAAGGCGTGAACGGAGGGTCCGTCTAGGTAGAGGACGGATCAGACGATCAGGGTAAATGGTAGAGGGCGTGTCAGGGGACGAATTGAACACCCCGTCTACATGGCATCGTCAGTATCCAGTCAACTAGTTGATCGTCATCCTGAATTGGGGAATCCCCGATCATCCGGACTAGACGTCTCTGAGCAGACATACTCATTGTAGCTGTCATCATGCAAGATATCCACGCTCGCCATCAACCACCGACGATGCTATGAGAATGATATTCCAGCCCTTTGGCTCTGTCCTTTTATCCCCCGCCACCGTATTTGCTTCGGAAGGGGCCAGTAATCCAAAAGTCGGGGGTGGTGTTGAGGGGCGAATTGGGGGGGGGGTAATATCTTCAATGTCTGTGGTGCGCGGTCATGAGCTTTCCATTCAATAACAACATCCCGAGAATCGTATAGGTGGTGAGGTCAACATGTAACTGGGAATCAATCCAATCCCCGCGTTCCTCTGCCGTCCACAATCTCGGGGACACGAATATCGACCTACCCACAAAATAGTGCTATTACTCAGCACCTTATATATTCAAGAGCGGTATAGGATCCAAATTCAGAAGCGAAGCAAACCTGGACCTAGATCCAGTGCTAAAGTCAAGGCAAGTGAATAACTAGAATAACTACCAAGAGGGGTTGAGGGATATGAAGAGAAAGAGACAAGTCACGGGAATTTGAAAATACGCTAATCTACTTTTGGTAATGCTCCCCTATGACTTCGGCGAGAACTGGCATTACTTTGAGTACATGACTCTGAAGAACTCTGAAGAACTTCTCTGCAGGCCAGACACCTGGGGAGCACGTCTTTGGTGTATCTTCTAGGTACCATCATAGATTACATCTTTGGTTATCAGTCGACAAAATACTACTGCATCAACGGATGCTACTTGGGAAAAAGAGATCCCGCTCTGCGATCATCTTCAGATAACCAGGTACTCCCGGTACCTGAATTCACAGGGAAGCATTCAAGAGCTGGGGTGCCGGATTGATTGCATGCTGGCTATTCATTTGCTGATCACATCATGAACCATACCTAGCCCTAACTTGTGCAACGAATCTCGATCGGGTGTGATGGGACCTGTTGAACCCCTCCGGAAGGCTTTTCTCAAAGCTTCATTTCGCCTCTCCTACCACCAACACACCTCGGAGCACATTTCGGACAAATAACTACATCATCTAGATGTTAGGAAGAATCGATGCTATAAGTTTTCAACTTGCAACTAGACTAAAGTTGTCTTGCCGGCGCCTAAAACGGGTTCGGCTCGGAATGGGAGGCACATTCGGTACAGAAGATGGTCCAGACATACAAAACCTGACACAAAGGAGTCATTGGATTGGTCATTCCTATTGTTCCTAGAACTTAGGTAGAACCGAGGGTCGAGTTTTGCGGCTTAAACCAATTTAACCGTGGTAGTTGCCCTCTTCCTAGAGTGCTCTTTGCGTTATTTCCACTGGGGCACATCGTATTGCGGTTCAGAGGAGAATGTTGGTAGCCCTATACAGTATTGCATGATGTGCCTTGTTCCCTGGCCGTCTTTCTTTGTCTGGCAAGCCCTCTGGTTGGTTTATCCTGCGGTAAAAAAAAAAGAAACTCCTCCCACTAATGAGCCACAAAGCCAATGTACACTGTAAATATTTGGTTGAAAGAACGGCAAAATGTAGAGTAAAAACAGCATTAAAGTCCTCCGTAGGCAATGGGGGGGAAAAGAAGTGAAACACGAACAGCATGAGTGGTGAAAGATTCGCGCGTCGAAGAGGCGTCGAGAGCGGGGAAACCGGCGATTGGATCTTTTGGAGTCCCATTCCGGCACTTTTCTCCTTCTCTTCTTCCTCCCCGCCATTACAAGGAATTATTTCTCGGACTATGTAGTCATCGGGCTCTTCATCGAGCCTTGTGACGACTTTATACAGATCTGCGATTCCCAATTGTCCTGCTCTTTTTCACCTAACTCCCCTCCCCAAGAGCTCTCAATCGCGCGCGAAAGCTCCCTCGCAAACGGCTTTTCTCGAGTGCTGGAATCACACCAACCAACGTCTCGAAAACTTGTTGACTTTTCCTGATTTGACCTTCAGAGCTCTTTTTTACTCTCTTACAATCCTCAACCCTCCCCCACCATGACTCCTCGTCGTTCCTCTCGGGCTCGCACCTCCCAGCCCTCTCCTGCCCTCCTACAACACACCAACTCCTCCTCCAGCTCCTCGAACTCCCTTACTCGAGAGAGGAGCACTCGATCAAATCATAAAAATCCTTCTCCTCACGAATCGACCGGCAACCGCTCTCAGTCCATCGATGATGCTGAAGGTGGCTCGAAAGACCTTCCACATACGCGGCAGCGCCAGCGCGCCCACGACGACGACGACGATCCACCCCGTGAAGAAGATGAGGATGACCTAGATGATGAGGAGGAGGAAGTAACTCGATGTCTCTGCGGTCAGCAAGAATATCCAGGATTGCCTCCTTCACGTCGCGAGGCCCTCGGTCGCGGCACCATCAAGCTGGAGTCGGGACAAGTTCCCACTGATCCATCTGATCCCATGTCAGATGAGATTGGGAGTATGTTCATCCAGTGTGACTTGTGTAAAGTCTGGCAACATGGTGGTTGTGTTGGAATCATGGATGAAGCAACGAGTCCTGACGAATATTTTTGCGAGGAGTGCCGGAAGGATTTGCATAAGATCAAAGACGAACCTCATGGGTGGGTGAACCCCCGTTATCCTTTGAAATTACTCGGCCCTATATACCCCTACATTTGTGTCAACCCATATCTCGGTGGTTGTGCTTTGCTCTTGCTGCTTTGGAGGGGCTGTTTTTCTGAGGCAGTTTCACGCACAATCACTCCCCCAAGCATTTACAAAATACCAATGCTCCTCGATCTTGCTACATAGAATGTTTTGACAAGGCATACTGACAATCCCGCAGGCAACACTCTTCTACCTACCTTCCTGTTGCACCAGAACCAGTGCCGCCGCCGCCACCACCACCTCCACCACCTCCCCCGGCCCCAGCCCCAGCCCCAACCGTGATCCCGGCAGTGCCTGAGGTACCCGAGGTACCTGAGGTGCCAGTGGTGCCAGCCGTCCCAATCATTCCGGCGGTGGCCCCGTCCCCCGGCCCTTCCTCTCGTGCCTCGTCGAGAGATATATCGCGGCGTTCCAAGGATCCCAAGTCCCGGAGCAGCGAGAGTGCCGCCGCGCACGCAAAGCGGCGATCGACAATGAACAGCCGGGATGCTGCTTACGACGAAGAAGAATTGATTCGACGTGCAATTGAGGAGAGCAAGGCCGAGACCAAAAGCAATGCGGATGAAATGGACACACGTCTGGGCAAGCGGAGTCGAAGTGACAGTGTGACGTGCGTATTCCCAGGCTGAACAGCATTGACTCGGATAATATGGCTAACCAGTTACCCAGGAACAGAGAACGAGCGAAACGTCCGCGAACTACTTCACCCTCACCTAGCGCCATCTCGAAGCATAGCAATATAGCATCTCACCCGCCTTCTGATGATGAGACGAAACAAAAACCCACTGTCAATGGAAATCGCAGACAGAGAGCTACATCTCGAGGCCAGACCGAGAAAGAGCCTGGGAATGACGCCGATGAGGGCGAGAGAGAGGCTCCTGAAGCGGCGAATCGTCGGAAAGAACGATCAAACCGGCGCAAAGTAGATGGTGAGTGACACAGTCCCAAGTACACAATTGCCACTTATTAACACGGCCTTAGTAGAATCCGAGCACGAAATCGGTTCCCCAACCAAGACGGCACCGCCAGAGCCCGAGCCGTCCCACACAAGCCCTAACACCCCTACTCCGCAAGAGCCCACACCTGTTCGTCCGTCAACACGCAAGTCCGGTCGACCTCCCGCGCGTCGCGGTCGTGTTGGACGAAACCAATACACGAAAGATCGGGATACCAACGGGAATGGAGATGTCGGGTATTTGGCGAACTCGCCGCGCCGCGGTCAGTCCCACGAAATCGGCGGAGACTCCCCTCGAGTTGGCTACAGCGGTGTAAATGGAGCACACATGAATGGTGGGGAGTCAGGACGGCCAAGCAAGCCGCGCCACATGCACCCACAGCGAACAACGATGAACGAGATGAAGCGCCGAGTAGCAGCCATCCTAGAGTTCATCTCGCGCATGCAAGTGGAGATGGCCGTTGCCGGCGAGAACTCCACGCCTACGAGCAACGGCGACCGGGCCCAGGGCCTGCTCTTGAAGAGCATGGTCGATCAGATCGACAGCGCCATGCCATCCACGCGCAGCGAGGGCGGTGAGTCCGGCCCCGCCACCACAGACGGCGGCTACGGGGAATCGTCGACGAGCCACGAAAAGGATTTCAAGGAGCTTAGCAGTGTCGAGATGATGGACGTGCTCACTCGCCATCTGCTCAAGTGGCAGCAGGAGTACGGCAAATTTGGAGAACGGTAGACTCTGCCACTACCATACAGCTGGTTTCACTATTCTTCTCGCTCTATCCCATCTTTTGAGCTTATCCACTGCTTCGCACCACGATACCCATCTTAATTTGCTTTTCTCGTCCTATCGATTGTACACTAACTAGACCTGATCTCAGTTTTTTTTTTTTTTTTCTCTTTTGTCTTCTCCATGTTATTCCATACTGGACCGGCGTCAATGATCATGCTGGAAAACAACGGTGTTATGTACCCAGTGGCGACTCATAGTCTTGCTTGGTTCCAAGATTTCATTGCCCATGTTATTTTTCTATCTGTTTATTTGTGATCCATGCTTTGCTATGACTATGATGTCTTGCTCTTCGGTGTGGTCATTATTCTGAGAAGTCCTCTTCTCGTCTGGCTTTTGTATCTTTCCTTGTTTTGGTGCCCAGGTTTGATTTTTGGTGTTCTGGGAAAAGTCAGTGCCTATATATGGCTGTTTGTCTGTCTGCAAGAAATTCTTTCTTTCTCTAGTGAGAATAGTATCACTACTCTTTTGTCCGTTACAAATATTCAAGGTGTTAGGGAGGAAATGGTGTTTCTTACCAAGTATGGAGTATATTGCACATAGCTACCTTGTCTGTGGGAGAAGACACTGGTTCATAGCTGAAGAACGGAGACTACCTAGTCAACGTATTGACAAGGCCAATGGCTCTCCCGAGCTCTCCTTCGTGGGCACCTCGCTTGACCCTTTTGATAGGCTGTGCCAAATAACGTTGCTTGCACTTGGTAATATGTGTAA